ATCAAAAAAAATTTAACTATGATACAAATAAAACTAAATGTGTCATGCTACTGTACTTTGTAAAAAATATTGTTTCATTGAACAGTTTTCGTAAAGACATTAATACAAGACATTTATTGCGACAATGTTTAAAATGGAGTAAACGAGAAAGGTAACGGATTGTGCTCATATGTTCCTGTCTCCTTTAGAGGACAGGGATACTTCAAAGTGATATTTTACGTTACACATTTGAGTGAAAATTTAAAAACGTACGTTTTCAGGAAACACACTTTGCAAATTTTTTTCCCCTTTTTTCAAAACTTTTATTATTTTTTTGATTTCATTAACATTTGAAGTTTCATAAAATGTCCATGGTAACGCAATATCTTTGGTAGTTTTTTTTTTAAAAGAGCATCTTTAGTGGAAAAACACAAAATCCTGTCACGACCATAACAGACGTTTAAATGAATATTAAAAATAGTTAATATTATTTTTATAACTATGTTTTGCTATAAACTAATTTACTTTTATGACCATTATACATTAAAAAGGTCACTGAGCTTTTAGTATATTTGGTCTTTCTAGAAAAAAATAAAAAACTCAAAAAAATTGAAAAAAAGCCAATAATATCTTTTTAAGTTTGTATAACTCCGAAAAAACTTACCTGAGACCCGAAAAATCGTTATGTTTGCATAGAGGCGTGCTTCTTTGTGTATAAAACATTGAAATATGACGATATTTTAATTTTTGAAATTTTTATGACAGAAATCATAAACGTGATGGTCAGGGACAAGCGGTACGGTCGTGAATTTTATAAAACAATCTAAATCTTTCTAAACAATCCTTTAATTATACTATTAGTTATAATAAAAATATGTGTTTCAATTGAACTAAACTGTTCAAATTACAATTATATTAAAGTTATTGTCACGACCAAACACACTATAATCCATAAGGCTGGATAGGTCGTGAAAAAACCCGCGATGGTCGTGAAACTTTGGTCGTGAAATTACGTGTTATTTGGCTCTGTTCTGGCGGTAGCTCTGCACCTCATGTTCGAGGATACAAAGTGGACTTCTAGGTTAATCTAGCAATTGAAATATCTTATAAACAAAAATTAACACCATGTCTACTTCATCGAATGACTATGTACGGTCATGGACACACCAAAATTACAAAAAACACAACCTTTCCTGTATTAATCTTGTAATTCCTCCTTTCAACTCGAAACGACCGGCACTACAATCCTGACGTACACCCCGAACTAGTCTCTAAAACCAACTGACTCCATCAACGCGAGGCTTGCCACTGTCGTGCTCCAAAGTTGAAAAATTTTCCCAAATGGTCGTGACGCCAAATCGAGGGACAGACTTATTATGTCATGGTAGTCAGTTTGCAATGACAATAAAATTATAATATGCTCCTTTTTTTTAAGTTTAATAACCATTGATGACATAAAAATATGGCTTTATATATTGCTGCATGAATAATTAGTCTAAAAACAGCGTGAAAGTTGGAAAATGTACCCTAGGGACACGTCATGGTCGTGAATTTCGAGACTTTAAAAATACGAAAAAAATACCTAGAACCTATTTAAAACCAAATAAATGTGTGTAACATGTTGCCCCCATCCCAAAAAATATTAAAACACATAATAATAAACTACAAATCCAGTAGCTACGAAGTAAAATGCCAGGGACATGAAAACGTACGTTTTTAAATTTTCACTCATTTACTGTACTAAGCCATGGAAATCTGTTCCCTAACTTGGGAAGGAAAGTGTACTTAACATAATAAATTAATTATTTTTACGAACTAAATTCTTGATTATTACTACTTTAGTTACATAAATATTATAATTGTTAAATTACAATTACTGAATACCTATGAGGTCAATATTCTTGTTTGTTTTGTGACATGTTCCTGTATTATTTTTCTTCATAATTTATTTATTTTTATCTCAATGTGTTGCAAGTGTGATTTGACTGTGCTTCTATTCAGATAAACTCTGGCTTTTCTTTGATACTGTTTCCAATAGATGAAAACAGAAGACTGTAAAATTCATCCTTGAATATTGAAGAAACATTTAGTTGAGATCAGTACACTTAAATGTAACAGGAAATTTAAAAAATCTTTAGATTTAAAATAGAATGAGAGGTCTACCTCACTTGCTGCATCTTGTGTTGATGGTAGAATATATAGTTTTTATATAGCTGAACTGTAGCATAAACTACTTTTACTTATTGTATGCAATAAATGAAATTTCAGTGTACACAATGGGACTTAAGATCAGTACCTATTATGTTACTGTATATACAAGTACAACACAAGCTGTTTTTTAGTATCAATACTGCATTTCATGTCTTACATTATTTTTAGTTCATTTTCTAGGGGTTTTTTTTACAAAATTATATAAAATGAATATAAAGTTAGGTTAATTCAGGAGGGGAATTTTACAGTCACAAGAAAATTCATATCTGTATCTCAAAATTACTTTCAAAATATTTAAGCTAATCTCAAACTTGGCTGCCTTACTGTGCCAGTCAACCGTTAATTGCCAATCGAAAAGCACACCTATAATCAATAATTCAAAATTTTAAAAACTATTGGCAATAGCTTTTTAAGTAAAAACTTCTAAAATTTCATAAAATCCAATATAAATTATAACTATCAGGATATAACAAGACACAAATTCATTTTTAATATCAACCCATTTCATAGTCCTGGAATGTCAAATATATTTTCATCAAAGCTTGACAAGATAACTTATTACTTTCACAGGAGTTTCAGGTGAAATCAAAGGAATGATATACTACACAATAATTACAGTCCATCCTATATATTTTTATTAAATTAAATTATTTGCAGTGGAAACATTTCAATAATTATCAAAGTTTTATTTTTTTAAGCTATTGAATTTTACAAACCTGACAAGTATGCATACGGTACTTATACTAGTATGCATTATATATAGATTTTCATAAGATGATCTGTGTAGCTTTTTACTGACAAGCTAAGCTTTTTCACTAGTGAGTATCATTTATTTAAAGTCCAATGATCAGGAACAGCTGGGTCCAGTTTTGAACCACCAAAAAGCTACTAACCTTTCTCAGGATCGATCTGATTTCCTATTCCTATAAAGTTATACAATCATAGTAAAATCTGTTTGCTCGAGGAACAATGTGTAAAACGTAGTCATAGTGATTTTTTAAATACCCATTGACATGCGTGAAAATTATACGACTTATTTATAATGAAAACATAATTTTTATCACATCGTACATTTGTATATGTTAAATCTAAATTCAATTAACAGCCTATAACATTTGGACAAAAAGAATTTAACATAGAATGTTTTTAAATATGAAAAGTTTCATAGAGAGAAAGAACTCCTGAAAAATAACGTTTGAGAGTGGTATTCGTTGCTTGAATTTGATTTTTGTTGATTGTAAAATCACATTTAAAAAGGTGCAAATACCTGCTATTAAGCAATCCAATATGCCCAATATATTGGATTGCTTAGTATCAGGTATTTGCACCTTTTTTAATATTATTTGGCAATCCGGAGGCTAACACCTACAATGTAAAATCAAGTTAATTATTACGTGGATTATTACAGAGCCGTTCCATCAGGATAGGTAGAAAGCAAGTTTCCCGTTTTGTGGATCTAGAATCTCATGCCGTCCCAGGTGAGAAAGGGCCAAAAACCAAGATTACTACACAAACCCATGGCTAGAAAACCACAAAGAGGAAACCCCATCAAGGACCGTGTAATAAATCCTTAAAGAAAACTTCAATAACAACAAATATCGGGTAGGAAAACACAGTGGAGATGGGTGGCTCTAGCGAGTATGATCATACTTTATAAACACATTCAATTATTTCATTTCCAATTTTTAAGGAACAGAATGGGTGGAATAGAACCCCAAAACACCCAAACTCCCAAAATACCCAAAACCAGTTCAGTTTACAGGTTAATAATATTTATTCACATTTGCTAAATTCAGTTGGGATAAAATACCAAATTAAACTCTTGGCAGGAAACTCATTAAATATAAAGTAAAATTCTCTTTGACCCGCCCTCTGCTCTTTTTATGCACCTCAGTCCCCTCCAGAAGCGGTTTTCTCTTAGATATGAGTTTCATGCTCTTTTGACACTTTTTATTCGTCTTTAGAAATAAAGAGTACTTTGTGGTAAGTTTTAAACGTTTTGATTTAAATTTTAAAGGCTAATTAAAATTTAAAAAAAGAACGTATTGTAAGATACATTTTTATATACAGTAAGTAGCAACAGGGAGACCGAGTATTGCTCGGTTGTGGTTAATTGGGTTTAATCGTTAAAACAATATAATATTGTAAACAGACACATTTGATTTTTTATTAGTAGGGGGAATATAGTAAAGAGACGTCACTGTGGGCACTTTTTCCCATAAGAATAACGTGTTGGATTTTTTTAGCCACGTTTTTAAAAATCCTGCCCACTGCCTATACATCCCTATACAAATGTCCTATACTACTGTCCAACCCCGTAAACATTGTTATTTTCCTACTCTTTCCTCAAAAAGTCGAGCAGTAAAATAACTTGCATAGGGTTTTCTTCTAAGACTCGTGGACAGAGCCACGATTTGTATACAACAATCGTCTTACTTATCTCTGTGGTCTACTTATATTTACTAATCTTACTTTCCTATAATCTCTATATCCATCCAGCTGTTAGTTCAAACATATTATATTGGACTAAAACAAACCCAAGATTTTAAAGACCGCTCTAAAAAATATATTAAAACATCTAGTATTTTACTATGTATATATAAATAATCTGTCATCCTCTTACCGACTAAATGAACGTATCAATTGATTTAGCGCTTATCATTTAGCGGATTTCACTATAGGGAAGATGCTATTACCGTAGGAAGCATGGAAAGACTTGGACCCAAGACCGGTGGATTTACTTTTTACTTTTTTGTTAAATCACAATACCATTTAATAGGGAATAAATATGACATGTTTATGAAAATATTTTATTTAAAAACCATACAGACAAATTGAAAATTTGCGGTGTCCACAGCTTTGCTACATCAGGGGAAGGGTATTATCTATCACTAATGTTAAGTTAAATTTGAAGCTAGGTGATATTTAAAGTACATCATGTATATAAAACCCCATATTAATGCCTTACGTTTATTAGACCAATGTCTAATTTAGAGTGCTTTTATTTAACACAAATATTATGCAAAAAAATGATAGCATACTGGTCTTCTTGAAATGTTACTTTTATAAATTGTATCTAGTGTGTAGCTCAAATTATAAGGATTTTGAATTTTTAATCTCAGGTCTCTTTGTTCAGTAAGTAGGCATTAAAACAGAAGATTACGTCACAAGTCCACCTTCGCCAAATTCATACTCATCAAAATGTTTGAAAAAAGAAAACTGTGTGACAATATAATGTCTCATCTTTTGGAAACTAACGCTATTCCTCTTCAACTAAAAATAAGTAGAACATAGAATTAAAAGGACATAGAAGTTAATAATCATCATTTCATTGAATTATTGTTGACCTAGGACATAAGACTGGATGAAGGAGACAAAAATTGAACTCCTGACTTCACTAGACCTGTTCTAATGCCACCGATAAGTCATGCCTAAAATAAATCTCACAACACCAATGGAATAACATTTTGCATTTCAGGAAGCCCTCCTTGGGTTGCAACAGAGATTTAACATCTCATATTTGATTTAAAAAATCAAACAACTAAAAATAAAAAAAAACCAAAAGGAGTGTTAAGACCCCTGGCTTTTGCTAATGGAGCTTAGTCAGGTTTTGAAGCTCAGCCAGCCAGCCGAGCTCTGCAGCTAGGAGCTCAATCTGCTGCACAATATCTCCCAACATTACGCCATCTTGCGGACGAGCTCCCAGCGATCCAACCTCGTCCCTGTTGATAAGAAGCCTTGGAACCGAGTAATCCACCATGTCTGCCAACCCCGCAAATGGATATACCTGCAAAATCAAGACACAATACCTTTTTTGTAAAATGTACATCCACACTTTTTTAATAAAAGTTTGCTAGTTTGATCATGAGAAAATCAGTATCTTTTTCATTATTTTCAACTGGACCTAGCCTCTAAATTAAAATCAGAGACTTCTCAGCCACTTTTGATCCATCTGTGACCAAAGCATATCACAATAAGAATTTCCCAGGCCAACCATTTCGATCCTACCAGATTCCACTGATATGCATACCCAAAGAAAAAATTAAAACCATAAAATTTAAGTTTAACTTCAAAACGTGATGAACCAAAAACAACTTTAAGCCATATTTCACACAATTTCTTTCTCATTAAGCATTAGATAAGACTACATCGAAGCTAATCCTTGATTTAACATTCTGTCTCTGTGTCCAAGTAAATGATGAATTGCTCAAAAGTAGGATTTTTTCTAGATATGCAAACCCTAGTATATTTACTGATAGACAAATTCAGACATTGGACAAATAATTCAAAATTCAAACATAAGTCTATCCAAGTTTAGAGTACCTTATAAAAATGTACAAACCACAAGGGAGGTTCCAATGATAATGAGAAAGTCAGTTTGAAGTGTGTCAACTTGTGATAATTCTCCAAACCTCTGAGGGAGCATTTCTCCAAAAAATGTTATATCAGGTTTGACTAGGCCCTGAAAAGAACACACTTGTCAACTGTAGTCCTCTATTAACTGCTTTTACATAATTTGTGCCAATATTTATTTATTATTTCTATAAATGAATAAGGATATGCCTTTTACGTGTCTTATATCTACAAAACATTTTTTGAGTGAAAATTTAAAAACGTACGTTTTTAGGAAAAACACTTTGCAAATTTTTTTCCCCTTTTTTCAAAACTTTTATTATTTTTTTGATTTCATTAACATTTGAAGTTTCATAAAATGTCCATGGTATTGCAATATCTTTGGTAGTTTTTTTTTAAAAGAGCATCTTTAGTGGAAAAACACAAAATCCTGTCACGACCATAACAGACGTTTAATTGAATATTAAAAATAGTTAATATTATTTTTATAACTATGTTTTGCTATAAACTAATTTACTTTTATGACCATTATACATTAAACAGGTCACTGAGCTTTTAGTATATTTGGTCTTTCTAGAAAAAAATAAAAAAACTCAAAAAAATTGAAAAAAAGCCAATAAAATCTTTTTAAGTTTGTATAACTCCGAAAAAACTTACCTGAGACCCGAAAAATCGTTATGTTTGCATAGAGGCGTGCTTCTTTTGTGTATAAAACATTGAAATATGACGATATTTTAATTTTTGAAATTTTTATGATAGAAATCATAAACGTGATGGTCAGGGACAAGCGGTACGGTCGTGAATTTTCTACAAAAATCTAAATCTTTCTAAACAATCCTTTAATTATACTGTTAGTTATAATAAAAATATGTGTTTCAATTGAACTAAACTGTTCAAATTACAATTATATTAAAGTTATTGTCACGACCAAACACACTATAATCCATAAGGCTGGATAGGTCGTGAAAAAACCCGCGATGGTCGTGAAACTTTGGTCGTGAAATTACGTGTTATTTGGCTCTGTTCTGGCGGTAGCTCTGCACCTCATGTTCGAGGATACAAAGTGGACTTCTAGGTTAATCTAGCAATTGAAATATCTTATAAACAAAAATTAACACCATGTCTACTTCATCGAATGACTATATACGGTCATGGACACACCAAAATTACAAAAAACACAACCTTTCCTGTATTAATCTTGTAATTCCTCCTTTCAACTCGAAACGACCGGCACTACAATCCTGACGTAAACCCCGAACTAGTCTCTAAAACCAACTGACTCCATCAACGCCAGGCTTGCCACTGTCGTGCTCCAAAGTTGAAAATTTTTCCCAAATGGTCGTGACGCCAAATTGAGGGACAGACTTATTACGTCATGGTAATCAGTTTGCAATGACAATAAAATTATAATATGCTCCTTTTTTGTAAGTTTAATAACCATTGATGACATAAAAATATGGCTTTATATATTTCGGCATGAATAATTAGTCTAAAAACATCGTGAAAGTTGGAAAATGTACCCTAGGGACACGTCATGGTCGTAAATTTCGAGACTTTAAAAATACGAAAAAAATACCTAGAACCTATTTAAAACCAAATAAATGTGTGTAACATGTTGCCCACATCCCAAAAAATATTAAAACACATAATAATAAACTACAAATCCAGTAGCTACGAAGTAAAAGGCCAGGGACATGAAAACGTACGTTTTTAAATTTTCACTCTTTTACTGTTTCTAAATGTGTCGATACATGCTAGTTGGTAAGTTGCTATCGACTCTAGACTCTGTTTTTTGATTGGTGTAAGCAGATGTAACCAAATTAATGTCACATTGCACAATGTGGATCAAAAGCCAAAACCTTATGATCCGTAAATTTACAGTGCTACCACTGTAATTTTTTACTTTTTTAGCGAGTTTTTCTAAAGGGAAGTAGCTATTGCCGTAGGTCTCATGGTAAGACCTAGGCCCGAGACCGATTTACTTTTACATTTTGATGTCCCCAGAGGCCTAAGACACCATGTGTTAAAATTTTTATATATGTTTGTCCGGCCAGACGATAACTTGAGTAATATTTGTCCGATTTTGATAAAATTTGGTTTAAAGGTGTAAGGTGGGATAAACTTAAATGAGTTTGCGAACCAGCATAATCCGACCATGGGAACGGGGTTTAACGGGGGGTTTTATGGGGTAAAAATGGGGCTTTCTAATTTTTTACCCTTAAAACAGATAATTTTTCAATTTTTCTCCAGACCTTTTTAAAGAGCTTAAAAAAACAAATAATGTAGTACCCATCATTGTGTTTTTGTACTGTCATTGGTTACGGAGAAAATTCAAAAAATTGTTAACTTAAAATTCCCATGTTGTTCTTTTGGAGAATATTGTTAAATGTTGTAGTTGGCTTGTTTATGGATGTATTTTGATCAAACTTGGCGGATTTATTTATTTCATACTAAGTTATTGATATTTTAATAAAGAAACAAACTTTATTAGTTTCCCTGAAGCAGCTAACCTAGGCACTCATTTAACATAAATGTTAATTTAATAGGTTAATTGAAAATCAATCCAGGCAAATGGAAATTCGCTTAGTTGGCAGGTTTTCTGCAGCAGGGGTATTTATTATTAGACTTTTATTTTCTTCAATTCATCATCAGACCCACGCTTGCATGCGATGGGCTAAGGGCCCAGGAGATAATTGTGCCCTTCTACACCTAAACTGTGTAGGAATCTTTCTCTTCCTTTCGCCCCCAACAAATTTAAAACCTCTGGTCTCCCAAGAGGCCAAGAGGGTTGTCAGAGGCTCAAGGAAATGATAAAATTCTCCCAAAACCTGGGTTGAGATGGGTGCAATTATTTCTCTAACCTATTCAGTATTGCATAACATGCAAATTGCGGGCCTGCCTGTTTATTATAGCACAACTTATAAAAAATTGTAATATTATAGAAAATTTGTAAATGTAAACATACCTTGCACTCCTCACACCTTGGTTCTTCCCCTGCCATGATAGCTTTTCTAACAATTTCTGAATCTTGTTTGGCGTAACACCTTATACAAGAAGCCGTGGAAAAACTGCCATGTGCTTCGACTAGATTATCATTGTTCAAACCTGCCACTGGAATTTGTAGAAAATTGCGTAAAAATATGGAGTTAATATTACGATTCTGCAAAATTAATAATGCAAATTCTTGATTGAATCTAGCACATTAATTTAACTACAGCGACCCAGTATTTGCACGGAAAAGCTTATTCTCATATCTGTTGGGTACGAGACAATTAATATAATTGGCACAACGAAATTGGAAACATTTAACTAGTATGGACATTTTTATCTTTTAACATTTGGTTGGGTACAAGTGATTTTGTCCAGCTAAGCAATTACCTCTGTAAGCTAATATTCTTCTAATAGCATATTCATATTTTCAAAATATTTTCTGTCAATCATCTTTCTACAATAGCTAAAGATAAAAAAATAATCAATAAACTTACAAAATATCATAATTACATCTTTCTAAGCCATCTATATTCTGAGTATACATCCTCAAGAGTTTTCCTTTTTCTTCAAGTAGACGAACAAAATAATGACCAATGTTCGGCTTTATGTTACCGGCTCCTGGATAGATTGCTTTGGCCAGGTCAAGAAACGGTTTTGGGTTTTGATTGTAGAAGTGCAGATCGAAAATCGCCTCAGGGTACGGTAGTTTGTATTTTTGTAATTGACTATAGAGCCCTGAATCAGGTGACCTGAAAATTGAAGCTTTTAAGTATGACTGTAGAGATCGGCATATAAATTATAACACGAAATAGTTGTACTTAGGCCTACATAAGCCAGTTGTTGAACAACTATTTGAGAATTATAGTGGGATTTTAAAAGAAAAGTTCCTCTGACAAAATAACTCGTTCGGTATTTAAAACACTTTACGCCTAGTGTCAGTAGATTAATTTAATGTACAATCCTGTACAATCTTTTACTGTAAGAATAATTTTAGCTTTACATTTTAAAGTAGTCCTAAAAAACAGTAGGCTACCTTAAGACCAATCAAATTGTATGTCTAAAATTTATTTCATAGACTAAATAATTAATACTGGTCAAGCTGTTTGGAACAAAATGTTAAAATTGGCAGAGTATAGCTGTATGAAAACTATTTATTACGGAAGGGTTAAACATTTCTGAAAACTAAATCCTTTTTAAACACTCAATTGGGCACCTTGATATTGACACACCTTTGGGAGCATGCATAGATTACCAGTGGCGGTCCCAGGATTTCATTTTGGCGGGGGGGACTGGGGTGTATGGAATGTCAAAAGAATGAAAAAAGGGGGTGCGGCCCCCTCCCCCCGGAAAAATGTGGAATTTAAAGCCTAAAACGTATTTTTATACGTATTTGAGCTCTATGCTCAAAGCTAGTAGTATTTGTGTTATCTAATAAAATAAATAATATTTCGGGGGGGGGGGGATAGGCCTATCTCTCCCATTCCCCCCCCCCTTTGGACCTCCAGTGTAGAGTACCTTAAAACCTTAAAAATGTGTACATGTGTAAAAGTTTCAACATCAGTGTTTTAGTGAGTAAAAACTGCGCCCAACTCTCAAATGATCAAAGCTTAATAGTTTAAGCTTTAAGACAGCAGATTTTAATAATGTAACAAAGCTACACAGGTTTTGTACTCCCTTCTACACCTAACTTACATAATATTCAGCTTAAAATATTCATCCAAGTGTCTGTTAGTTGTTCTCAAGGATTGATTGATTGATACCTACACAAAAGGACGAAGTTCTAACCGAACCGATTTGATTGGGAGGTAGGCTATGTATGAGTATCACACAGATTTGTCAAACGCGACATATTTGGACAAAATTTATAGTGTTTGTGAAAAAAGGTTTTTTTAGGACTTACCTGAAATCAGGAATGCCACTAGGTGTACTAAGACCAGCTCCCGCCATTACAAGAATGTTTTTACTATCATGTTTGATTTTATGGACAATATCTGGTAGTGTTCCCGTTGATAATCCTCTGCAGAAACTCTTTACTATTATTGCTATTTGAACAGATCGCTGGAACACAATAGCCTATAACTTAATAATTTGCAAACAATTATTTTTAGATTAATAATAAAAGAATCAAGAATAACTTAGGCCTATTTATTGGTCATAGACACAGAATACAGTGTACCTATTAACTTTCGTCACAAATGTAAAGAAACTATAGTAAACAGCATTGTCAAACAATATATAAATGGACTAACTTACTGGCTTAGAATTAGGCTACATAATGTACATCTTTGGTACTTTCCTGTTAAAGGGAACATTCATTATTATCGATGAGTTTTTTCGATATATCGAAATCTTAATTTTTGATCCGATATTATAAGCCGAATTAAATCACATCAGCTGCTGACAGCTACAATAAATAAATAACTTATTGTTCAATATCAACATGGATAATTAAAAAATATATAATATTATTGGAATGAAACTGTTCTAAAATAACCTAACTTAACTCAAACTTGCTGTAACATTTTAAAATTCCGTTTGATATACCCCATGCCTTTTCCTATAGGTACGTAGAACCTCATAATCTGAACCCCCGTAATCCGAACGTCCACTCATTCTAAGGCCTCATTGAACTGTACTCCATACACAGTATGTACAGTTAGTTATTTATATACAACGAACGTAACATAATTGTTTCTGTTGTAATGTACAGTACTGTTTATTCACTATGTTTACAACTATATTAAATAAACACTGTATTTTACTTAATGAAGAATTTTTTTCACTTTTCTTGTAACAATTTAAGAGCCATTTTAGCCACGTTTTAGCTATTGTTATGTAAAAACAACAATTTGTAACAACAATTGTAATCCGAACTATTCAATCATCCGAACTACCCCTGGTCCCAATTAGTTTGGATTAAAGAGGTTCTAAGTTACTGTATACTATTTTTGCCTAACAAGATGCGTTTTAAGATATAAAAACAGAAGTATGGATCGTAAAGGAAAACAACAATATAAATATACTTATCCAAAAAAAATCATCCACAGTAATGAACACAAACTGACACACAGCCTGCTGCAGCAAATCATGTTCATATCTGGTAGAATTATAATAAAACTTATTGTAGCCTGCAGGATTTGGTCCCTCGCGGCTGCACTTTACTTGACGTCCTACACTCATTCGATTGTTTTTCGATTCAATATTTTCATTCGATATATCGTTTGGTTAGTTAGGTTAGGTTAACCTTACCTAACTAACCAAACGATATATCGAATGAAGCAATCGATTAATCGATATATCGATCGATATTTTCATTCGAATGAGTGTAGGACGTCAAGTAAAGTGCAGCCTCCCTCGCCTGTGTTAGACCTCAACTTGCTTTGTTTTACAATGGTTTTACTAGGCTTACTGTATGATGGAAAAAGTTGATTTTCAAGTAACAAGAGTCCAATTTCTGCTGAAAAAACTTGCAAACATTTAATTTTTCATCTCCATCATATTTAAACAAATATATTGAACAAAAACTTTCAGTAACTTATCTTCAATTGTATCAAGAGGGTTCATTGGGTCAATGAGTCAACCTAAATTAATTGAATAGGAATATAACTTTGTTCACCATATCCATTCCTCGGCGATTATTTTATATAACCCCCAAAGTTACAACATTGATCCCCCTGCATTTTACTTTTACTTACCAAAATAGACCTCATGTTATGTTCAGTCTGACAGTGACAATGATTGAGTTTAGTTATCTTATCTTATCTTTTGTTTTTGTAGTGTGTTGATTTTTGACAGCAGTTAGTAGTTGAAGTGAAGTGGTAGTTGACAGTCTGTATAGCAGAAGCAAAAAATAGCATTAAAAGTAGTTTTTTTCTTTTTCGCTTTCATCTGAGCGAGTGGGCTGTTTTCGATCTCTACCATGCTGCTCGAGAGTTCACTGTTTATACCTGGTTGGCCACATATATTTACCCCAGTAATTATATTTTATTTTTATTAATTTACCTTTATAAACAAGGAAATATATTGGCCACAATCTAAATATATTCTGAACTACTACAATGTGTATTTTTAGTTTCATCTTCTCTACTTTACTTTGATAAATAATTCTAACGGTTACATCAATTTGTTATAATAGACTAGCTGAACCGACAGACGTCGTCCTGTCCCAATGTGGATTTATCTCAAATCCAAATGCTCGTTCATTTTCAAGATGAGCTCGTTCGCATGGCTCAATCACGTCATGAAGAAAAGATTATAAAATCATGCAAACCTATATCACAAAACGGTAGGACACAAAATACAGCTCAACAAGTACATATATATGTTTTCTCAATCCTTTGGGTGCTTCATCCGTGGCCAACCCTGTTTCGGGTTAGGGCATTGCTTGATCGGCCCCAAACAGAGAAGAGTCGCCTTAACCTTCCATTTCATAAAATCCGTCAAATCTTTAGAATCAAGAATCCTACTTTTAATTAACAAAAACAACATGCATCACGATATACCACATCTATGTTTCTTACTAACAAAAATCTATTCACCATTGACTTATCTGGAAAATAAGATTGTGTTTACTAATGGACAACCACTAACCACAGAGAACATTGAGGTCTCATGGGTAAAAAGACCCAGACCACCTTTTCGGCAAGGAAAAGACATCCGTTTCAATCGCGGATTACTCCTCTCATACTGCGCATGCGCGAGTAACCCGTTCCGTGGAACTGTGACATATATCAGATATCAGATTTATCTGCTACAACGTGTATACGGGTAAAACAGTCACACAGTACAATGAATTGAATATAGCACGGTTGTTCCTTTACTTTTACCAACTAGTCTGCGCTTTGTTTTTACTTTAGTATACTTTCTGGTTCTTGCTCATATGTTGGTTTATTATTTTAGGATCTCATGTGCAAGTCCTCCCCCTCACTTCTCAGCTATATCTATATCACCATTAAAGTACTATATCTGCGATATCACAATAAAGAATTATGGATCTAGGGCTCAATAAAAACTTGAAAGTAACATATATACTTTAAAGCTAGAGACATAATTTGTAAATTAAACTTGAATATTAATAGATTATTAGGCGTATACCAAAACCAAACTAGCCTAGACCTACCTCAAAATATCTACACTAATATTATGTAAGTTAAGTTACGCCAGTTAAATATTTACAAATTATTGATACTTATTTTATAGTTTGTTCTGAAACTAAGTACTTGATCTTGATCGCTCGACACTGTATGTTCGGGTCAGGCCTGCATAAAGTTAAATTAAACTCTTGTTTAACAAAATGTAGTGACATTGACTATAATGGTATAAAGCGTTTGGAATAATAAAAGGAATGTGAGAAGTTAACACGTTGCCTACCAGCCGTCACACTCCTCTGTGTGAGGACTCTATAGTCTGACCTGGTAGTGAATGTGTTAAGTTAGGTCATAGATTAAACATAGTATGTTTAATCTATGGTTAGGTTCCTTTATTTGTAAATTTGTAACACAGAGATGAAGTTGGCCTGATCTAACGGACGGTTTCAGTCTAGCTGTCAATGTTAATTTCAGTATATACATATACGTATATGTTTACCATTTTACTGCATCTAAGTTATCTTCTTATGTATCCAAATGGCCGCGAGTGGAATTGGATTGGATTTTCAATATTACCTTACCTGTGTCATCATCAATGTACTAATATGGGTTTGTTAGGTTAAAAGTAGAAATAAAAATGTATAGAAATTTTACAACTAAGGAAAAGAATAACCTAAATTCCACATTACGGTATCCTAGTCGATAGGATCTATAGGTTAGGTGGACCCCTAGTTGAGTGAGTTGGCGTTGGCTTTGTTTGACTGGGAGAACAAAGTGAGGTTAACCGGTTGCAGTATCCGTTCCTTCCATCGTCATCGAACGCGTGTCACTTGTCACAGCTCCCATAGTCCCATGGAACAGTTTGTTTGCGCATGCGCATTGGAGAGGAGTAATCCGCGATTGAAACGGAAACGGATGTAGGAAACGAACCCCTAACAACCAAACTTAACCTCTTCAATCTTCAATTAACGATTCTTGTTATTCATATATCTTGTGATGTGACGTGCTGTGTCTAACATAAACATAACTTTATATTCAATCAGTCGTGATTAGTAGTTTCAAGACAACTATGAGTGCTAAATTTACTTGTATCAACTGTCGTGTTGCATTTACTGACGCAGATGTACAACGCCAACATTATAAAACTGATTGGCATCGTTATAACCTCAAAAGAAAAGTTGCTGATCTTCCTCCTGTGTCTGCTGAAGAATTTCAAAGACGTGTTATTTCTCAGCGAGAACACGATGAAGCTCTTGGAAAGGACAGTTCAATTCATTGCAAGGTTTGTCGTAAGACATTCAATTCGTCTAAGTCATTTGAAAATCACTTGAAGTCAAAGAAGCATATAACCCTAGTAGATAGTCTGCCAGAAGGAACCAACTCTTTAGACCAAATATCTTCACCTGGAAATAGCAGCATCAGATCATCCGCTTCCAATAGTGTTACTAAGCTTAACACTTCTAAATCTGGTACCATAACCTCGGATGATGATGACTCTGACATTGAAGAAGTTGATTCAGATGAATGGGATGAAGAATTCAGTGATGACAATCCGATTCTACACAACAATTGTCTCTTTTGCAACCATCATAGTGCTGCCTTAATGAAGAACATGAAACATATGTCAGTCGCACATTCTTTTTTTATCCCGGATATTGAATTTGTAACAGATTTAAAAGGTTTATTGTGCTATTTGGGTGAAAAGATTACCCAAGGGTACTTGTGTATATGGTGCAATGATTCTGGGAAAGCATTTCACTCAGCTGAATCAGCACAGCAACACATGATGGACAAAGGGCACTGTAAAATGTTGCACGAAGGAGAAACTTTGCTTGAGTATTCCGATTACTACGACTACAGATCTAGTTATCCTGAAGAATTTGTAAATGCAGAGAATGATGATGAGGAAGTCGAAACGTCTGTTATTGAAGCTGAAGATTATCAACTCGTCCTTCCTTCTGGTGCTATTATTGGTCATCGATCATTAATGCGATATTACAGGCAAGATAAAAATATATTGAATAGTTAACTTAGGCCCACTGTCTTCAATAATTTGTGCAATCACTTGGTGTAACCAAGCAATTGGTGGAGTAAAGAAGAGTTAAGCAATTACTTAACCCTCCGAGTGTCCCTTGTTTTGGCCTTAATGTCTGCCTATTTTTTGCTCATTTGCAAGGTTTTATTAAAACGGATCTGAGAAGCTTGAAAACAATGTTAATTGGTTCTATATAGGTACTATTTTGTTTGGAAAATCATGGGCTTCAATATTATACATAGGCCTAGAACATAAGGAATATTTGTTTAAAAAAATTTTTCTGTAAAAATAAAAATTTTGGAAAATTAAAAAAAAAAAATAAGTTTGCGCTCAATGAAATTGTTTAAATTATAGGCCTATAAATATTTGAAAATAGCCACCTAAATTTTATGAGGATTACATACGAATATATAATATAATATAAGGAAGTAGATTTGCAAATAAATAAGTTATGGCCAAAAAACAGATTTCAGTACATAGCGTTTAGCTAAGAATGCATAGCCTAACCATAGCTAGGAATCTGGCTGATAATTTACATCAATATCACTACCTACTTCTTCAGGATCATCAACCAGCCCTTCAAAATCACTTAAATCTTCTTATAATGCACCACGTATATCACTACTTTTGATTTTTAACACTAAAACAATGATAAACGTAATAAAACACATCAGTCATTGGTCCGAGTCTAACCAAGCTGTTTACAAATACGCACGTCAGCTGTCTGCTACAATATTTTCGGAACTAAAATGAATAGCGCTTAGAGGCAGACCTCCGGAGAAAGCTCTGAATCTGTCAAATAAAACGATACCTAACTCGATCCAGTTCAATCCGATTTTGTCAGTCATAGAGCCTTTGCCGTAAACAGTGTTTGTGAGTCGCTGCAGCGACACAAAACACTACACAAAGTGTGTTATGTGTCACTGCAGCGACAAATAACACTCGGAGGGTTAAGTTAGATGTATAAGTTAAATGAAATGGTACTTTCCTGCTAAAGGGAACATTCATTATTATTGATTATTTTTTCAATATAGGTACTTATCGATAGATATTTTTGTTTTCCGATCCATTATATACAAATTGACAACAACTAAGTAATTGATCTCGTTTAGGCTGAAATAGTCTAAATTATATGAATTAAGAAATGCAACTGTTCTAAGCTAACCTAACACAACCAACCAAACTTGCTGTATCATTAAAAAATTCCATTTGGGTTTGATAAAAGAAAATGCAAGTTAAACACAGAATTTATAAATGTTACAGCAAGTTTGGTTATTTTTTTAGAACAGTTTCATTTCATTATTGTTTGTTGATACTGAACAATATTTCAATATTTATCGTAGTTGTTGTCAGCTGAAATGGGTCGTTCTCAAATTCAAGACAAATTTGGGGATCGGAAAAAAAACAAAAAAATATTTTTTTTACAATCGTTTACCTATTTATTAAATCAAAAGAAATATATCCCTTAATAAGAAAACAAAGATGGCTGACATTCTAACATTTTTTGTTAAAATTAAACAATTTTCTTTCAGGATGTCATACATTTTTCCCCTCGCTCACGTTTCCCCCCCCCCCCCTTAAAAATAAAGAAAAAAAGAAAAATAGTAAAATTTATAGTTTTAAGTAAAAGTTTATAACTGTAGGCCTAGCTAACAATTAAAAATTTTAAAAAGTTATTTAATTGAAAGTAATAGCTGCTGATCCCAAAAAAACCTCATTTTTTTACCAAATAGACCAAAACAGAAGTTAAATTTTAGAATAAAAGTTACATTTTTATTTAATTCATAAATAAACTAATAAACCTGTGTAATGATCATTGGTTCTTGCGTTGAAATTGAAAACAGGTAAAAAAAAATTATTTTTTGATAAACAGCTTTTACTGGGTGTGAGCAAGCGGAATTAGTGTGAGCGAGGGAACTACAGAGCGAGAGAGGGGAACTACAAAGTGACTTTAACCCAGAGGTTAAATTGTTAGGCTACTGTTGTTTTTACATAACAATAGCTAGGGAAAAGTGAAAAATCTATATATATAAAATCCAATGTATGTTTGTATATTTGTATATTTGTATGTTTGTATATTTGTATGTTTGTCCTTTATGGACTCCAAAACCGCTCGACAGATTGTAATGAAACTTTCAGGCATTATTAACCATTATTCAAGGATGGTTTGTGTGAAGTTTGGTGCAGATCCGTCAATAGGGCTCCGCCCCAGTGGCTCTAGAGTTTATCATGTTAACCTTATGATTACTCATATTTAAATGGAATTAAAGAATCTTAACAGCTGGTGCAACTAAACAATTTGATTCTGTGATGTTCAATAGCATTAAAAAGTTAATAGGTCTACCAACAGGGTGCAGCACTGTATTTATTTTTTATTTATGAGAACAGCTAATTTGCAACCAAAAGGTGAGTGAGCGTAGCGAACGAACTTCAACCTGGAGGCGAGTTAGCGTAGCGAACGAGCTAACCTGAAGGCAAGTGAGCGCAGCGAACGAGCTCCAACCTAAAGGTGAGTGAGCGTAGCGAACGGACTTCAACCAGGACGTGATTGAGCCATGCAAACGAGCTCATCTTGAAAATGAACGAGCATGCGACATAAAACCACAATAGGACAGGACGACGTCTGTCGGGCCAGCTAGTTCTTTATAAAGTAAAATACAGTGTTTATTTAATACAGTAGTAAACATATGGAAAAAACTTTAGGCCTACACTGTACATTACAATTGAAATAACTACGGTGCATATCTATCTATATATTAATAGGCAAGCATGTTTCTTTAAAACCTTTTTTCTCAGCTCGTGTGCATCGTAGGGAAAATCTACGCATACCGTTGGAAAGCTATTTTCCTGTAGGTGTGCAGAATCCCTTTATAAATTTAAATAGGCTCAATGATAAGCACAAAAATGAGTTTAAAAATTTGAAAAAATTAACATGGATCTTATGCGTTGCTATGCTGGTTACGAAATAACAACGAAATCTAAACAGAAAATCAAAACAAATGGAAGAAACTCCAATCACATGTTTTATTTACAGTGTGGGGTGAAAATAGATAAGTGAGTACAGTACATTAGATATTTTTGGTCGAGTTTCGACCACTGGACGACCTCTCGTCTATATATTAATAGGCAAGCATGTTTCTTTAAAACCTTTTTTCTCAGCTCGTGTGCATCGTAGGTAAAATCTACGCATACCGTTAGAAAGCTATTTTCCTCTAGGTGTGCAGAATCCCTTTATAAATTTAAATAGGCTCAAAGATAAGCACGAAAAATGAGTTTAAAAATTTGAAAAAATTAACATGGGTCTTATGCGTTGCCATGGTGACGAAATAACAACGAAATCTAAACAGAAAATCAAAACAAATGGAAGAAACTCCAATCACATGTTTTATTTACAGTGTGGGGTGAAAATAGATAAGTGAGTACAGTACATTAGATATTTTTGGTCGAGTTTCGACCACTGGACGAACTCTCGTCTATATATTAATAGGCAAGCATGTTTCTTTAAAACCTTTTTTCTCAGGTCGTGTGCATCGCAGGGAAAATCTACGCATACTGTTGGAAAGATATTTTCCTGTAGATGTGCAGAATGCCTCTAAAAATTAAAATAGGCTAACAAATAAGCACAAAAAATTAATTTGAAAACTTCAAATAATTAACATGGACCATATGGGTTGCCATGATGGTGACGAAATAACAACAAAATGTAAACAGAAAATCAAAACAAATGGAAGAAATTCCAATCACATGTGTTATTTACAGTGTGGGGAGAAAATAGAGAAGTCTGTACATTTATTATTTTTGGTCGAGTTTCGACCACTGGACGACCTCTCGTATCAATAAATACAGTACAAAGAACTACTGTACTGTGTATAGATGTGTACAATGAGGCGTTCGGATTAGTGGACGTTCTGATTACAGAGTTTTGGATTAAAGAGGTTCTACTGTAGGTCTTTTTTAATTGTTTGTTGATACAGAACAATATTTGGTACCTATTTATTGTAGTTGACAGGTAATATGTATCAATTCTTTAATATTGATATATTTCGGATCAAATAATAAAGTATTGATGTATCGGAAAAACTCAACAATAACAAAGAATGTTCCCTTTAACAGGAAAGTAGGCTACCGTGACACATTAAGTTTTACTTTCATTCATGTTAACTTGTGATTATTTTTAAAAAAATCCTCGATACAAGCTATTTCTATTGTGGATGACAACTCTACATATCTTCCACAGTTTACCAGATACTTTTAAATTAGAGTAACTTAATCTGCATAAAGATAAAAACCTGTTTACATGGAGAAAAATTTGTACATTTTAAAAGTTTTTTATGTTGCAAATGAAAAGCAATCCTAGGGTTTCCCTGAGGAACACCTGATTTTATTGTGGCCATATTTGAACTGTATCTTAATTTATAATACAGTATTGTCTTCAGTACCGTAGTGTGATTTATTTCAAAAAATTGTTGCCTATTTGATAATGAGTTTAGCCTAAACCAATTAAGAGTGTTTCTCCTGTTAAAAAACTCACAACTGCTGTAATGGTAGAATTATCTTTCCTAAACCCGTGTTGGATATCTTCTTGGATTGAATTTGCTTTTTGTAAGAAGAAAATTAATTGATTAGAAACAATTTTCTCATAAAATTTAGATATTGGCGATAGCAAAGATATTGGTCTGTAACATATCCAATGCAAAGATATTGGTTTGTAACATATCCGATGTAAATATATTGGGGTAGACTTCCGTATCTGTTGGCACAAACAACCGAATGAAAATATCGATTGTTAACGTAACCTAACTAACCAAACAATATAATCTCCAATGAAACAATCAAATAATCGATATTTTCATTCGGTTGTTCATGCCAACAGATATGGAAGTCTACCCAGATATTGGTCTGTATCCCTAATGATTGTAGCATCTTTTGATTTAGTTACGGTAGGCCTACAACTTTAGCAATTTTTAAATAGTCTGGAAAGATGCGACACTTACAAAAGAGGACCACACTTTTTGTGGTTGTTTCATGTTAGTCCATAGACAAAGCTTCAGTTTCACATATTCCATGAATTGTTTTTGTTGTTAAATCTATTAATTTCCAATCAAAATAATTAATCGATGTTTTAGATTCATTCACTTTCTGAGAATATTTTTAGGTCTAAACTTAGTGATTTTTTTAGGCAAAACTTCGATCCAAACCGGGTGGTTGTTCCTGCACAGAAGAAGGTTCATCGAGTGATTGCCCAGTACAAGGCTCTTGGATGGAATGAGACAGACAAAAAAGTCATCGCCAAGTATGTATTAACCTACACTAGAAGAGTTCTCTATTTTATCCTCCACTCGCCTTGTATTTTATCGTTTTAGCGAATTTCCCTATAGGGAAGTAGCTATTACCGTAGGTCTCATGGCAAGACTTAGGCCCGGGACCGATTTACTTTTTCATTTTAATGTCCCCAGACTCCAAAAACACCATTCGTTCAAATTTTTATATATGTATATATATATATATATATAGGTATATATATATATAGATTTATATATATATGTGTCCGTGAACACGATAACTTGAGTAATTTTTATCCGATTTTGATGAAATTTGGTTTGAAGGTGTAAGGCGGGATAAACTTGAATGAGTTCGCGATCCAGCATGATCGGACCATGGGAACAGGGTTTTATGGGGGGTTTTATGGGGGAAAAATTGGTTTTTCTCACTTTTTACCCTCAAAACACAAAATTTCCCAATTTTTCTCTAAACCTTCTTAAAGAGCTTAAAAAAACAAACAATTCAGTATATCAAAGTGTTTTTGTACGGTTATTGGTTACGGATAAAACTAAAAAAATTGTAAATTTAAAATTCCCATGTTATTCTTATAGAGAATATTGTAAAATGTTGTAGTTTGCTTGTTTATGGATATATTTTGATCAAACTTGGCAAATTTATTTATTTTATAGTAAGCTATCAATATTTTACTAAAAACACACTACTTTATTAGTTTCCTTGTAGCAGCAAACCTAGGTACTCGTTAAACCTAATGTTATTTAAATAGATCAATTGAAAATCAATTCGGCCAAATGGAAATTCGCTTAGACGGCAGGTTTGCTGCGGCGGGGGTATTTTTTTATTTAAATGCCTATTTACTGTAGGTACTGTATATGCAGTAGTGTATATACAAGTAACAATACCATAGTAAAAAAATGTTGATAATTTTTAAGCAATCACATGTTAATTTTCCAACAGAGCTTTCCAGTAAAAAGTATTAAACAAAATTAATAATAGTGTAAAAGCAAAAGGCTGGATCACTCAAGGAATTAGAATATCTAGTGCTAGAAAAAGAGAACAAAGAAAGTTGCCTAAAAATTACAATAACCAGCAATTTATTCAATATTGTAAGATTTATAAAAAATATATTTAAATCGGTGTTCAGACTGTTTAAGAAACGTTCCCTCAGTAACTACATTCAAAATTCAGTTTACAAAATTAAGGCTGTCTAGGGGCAGTTGCAAATTCAGAACTTGGATTGTGTAGAAAGAAATATAGTCTGCCCAGTATTGAACATGATGGTCATCAATAATGGTCAAGAAATAGGCCCTCTAACATTTTAACATACCCCTAGGAGTAACATTTTAATAGGCCCTAACAAATTTGCTGACATTGCAAAATACAATTCAGCCAACTTTAACCTTTTCAATGCCCTTTATAGTTGAGAAATTTTAAACTTAATCATAATATGTAGCTGTTTTTGATTATTCACCAATTTCAAAAGAAAAATTACCTAAAGCAATTGTTCCCTAAAAAATAAAATGTCAGCTGGTTGGGCAGTAACGCTGATAAAGAACCCCAACAATGTTATTGCAGGACCATTAAGCTTCATAATAAACCAATGTTTACTGAGTGGAATTTTCCTTATATAAACTAAAATTCTCTGAAATTAAACCCCTTTTTAAGAATGGCAGTAAATCAAATCCTGACAACTACCGTCCAATTTTAATTTTATCAGCTTTCTCTAAAGTATTTGAAAAATTATTAGCAAACAAATATCATCTGTTTTTTAAAGTAGGCTAACAAATTTTTTTTTACAGAACAATATGATTTTAGATCAGGATGTAATACAACTCAGGCTCTGTCTGACTTCTTGTGGGAGGTCGGCTGTGGCATCGATAGGTCTCAGAATGTTGCTGGAATGTTTTGTGACCTGTCAAAAGCCTTTGACTGTGTTGTACATAAAATTTTATTTTCTAAGCTTAAAATTTCAATTTTTCTCCAATTGCTTTGAAGTTTTTAAAATCCTATCTTATAAACCGCTTTCAAAGAGCTATTATTTTTAAAGACAACATGAGTAGTTCACTACTCATAACTTCTAAAGAGAGGTTATGTTTTCGTTTATAACCTATCATTGCCCCTGACAGTGATGGAACGAAACATTGTACCAAACACTAATTGCACCACTCAACAATTAAATTGGCCTGAACAGCTGATTAGTTGAAGTTTGAATCATTACAATTTTACTTCTCTCAATCCTTGAACCACATTGGTCCGTTACTCGTGTTGTTATGAGTAAAACTATGCTGTTATGTGAAACTTTTCAATTCTAAGAACTGAACTGAATCGGCTACTTTTAAAAACGATCATAGGTAAAATTGTTAAATTATTATCTGTTTATAGGAAAGTCCGAGATTTAAAGTACATGCAACGAGTCCAGTCAAAGTACACTATGAAGCTAGGAATGAAAGCAAACATTTTGAGCATCAAACGACCTCAAGTAAATTTCTAATCAAAGGAAGATTGTGGACAGTTCCCTAACTACTGGTACAGTATGTTTCATTTTAAGAATTATGTTTTGTATATTGTGTTATTATCAAAATATATTCTGTTTACTAGATTAGGCCTACTTACTTTGTTTAACTCCTGTCAATAACTGTTTGATTATTGTTATATATGCTGTTAAACTTGATTGGGAAGAAACATCTTTAAAGCATCAAAGACTTTTCTTGAGATAAAAGTAAAACCAGTAATCTTGATTGAATGGCAAGCACTACCATCTGATCTATCACCACTGCGTAAGCTATCAAGTCATTATTTTTTGCATTGTGACTATTAATTTTAAAGATAACAGATTTTAAATTACGTTTTTGTCATACTGCAGCAAAAACAGCTATTTTAATACATGCATTGCGGGTCTAAAGTATATTTTTTACTCTCTAGGGAGTAAAAAAGTGTTTTAGCCCCTATGGAGTAAAAATATCACCTGTTGCCAACTCAGTTGTATTGTAAATTTCAATTGTAAACCATGGCATGTATCAATTCCAATTGATTGTTTAATCAATTGTAGCTTATTGTTTACTTACTAGTGTACATGTTGCTCGAAATCGAGCAATTGCAAAGAAGTACTGGAGTTATTTATAAACAAATAACTTGTTTAAAAACTAAGTACCTGGGGACCGAGCTTTGCTCGGGGAAAATCCTTAGTCCACTCTGAAAGCAGTCTTAGTACTGTATTGGAGACACATAGATCCATTCCCAAACTCCACACGGCTCGCCTTTACTACGTCCTACGCCATTTCCTACGTCATTGACCTGTTTCCCTCCCTTCCCATAGCATTTCAGAATTGCAGATACCTTAATCTAATCGTCATAAACAGTTCCCACACTACGGACAGCTCGCCTTGACTACTTCCTTTGCCACTTCCTACGTCGCGGACCTGTTTTCCTCCCTTCCCATAGCATTTTAGGATTATAGATACCTTAATCTAATCGTCATAAACAGTTCCCACACTTCGGACAGCTCGCCTTTGACTACATCCTTCACCACTTCCTACGTCGTGGACCTGTTTTCCTCCCTTCCCATAGCATTTTAGGATTGTAGAAACCTTAATCTAATCGTCATAAACAGTTCCCACACTCCGGACTACTCGCATTGACTACTTCCTTCACCACTCCCTACATCGCGGACCTGTTTTCCTCCCTTTCCATAGCATTTTTGGATTGCAAATACTTTAATCTAATCATCATAAACAGTTCCAACACTCCGGCTACTCGCCTTGACTACTTCCTTCACCACTTCCTACGCCGCGGACCTGTTTTCCTCCCTTTCCATAGCATTTTTGGATTGCAAATACCTTAATCCAATCATCATAAACAGTTCCCACGCTCCAGACAGCTCACCTTGACTACTTCCTTCACCACTTCCTTCGTCACGGACCTGTTTCCCTCCCTTCCCATAGCATTTTAGGATTGCCCATACCCTTATCTAATCGTCATAAAACAGTTCCCACGCTCCGGACTACTCGCTTTGACTACTTCCTTCACCACTTCCTACGTCGCGGACCTGTTTTCCTCCCTTCCCATAGCATTTTAGGATTGTAGAAACCTTAATCTAATCGTCATAAACAGTTCCCACACTTCGGACAGCTCGCCTTTGACTACATCCTTCACCACTTCCTACGTCGTGGACCTGTTTTCCTCCCTTCCCATAGCATTTTAGGATTGTAGAAACCTTAATCTAATCGTCATAAACAGTTCCCACACTCCGGACTACTCGCCTTGACTACTTCCTTCACCACTCCCTACATCGCGGACCTGTTTTCCTCCCTTTCAATAGCATTTTTGGATTGCAAATACTTTAATCTAATCATCATTAACAGTTCCAACACTCCGGCTACTCGCCTTGACTACTTCCTTCACCACTTCCTACGCCGCGGACCTGTTTTCCTCCCTTTCCATAGCATTTTTGGATTGCAAATGCCTTAATCCAATCATCATAAACAGTTCCCACGCTCCAGACAGCTCACCTTGACTACTTCCTTCACCACTTCCTTCGTCACGGACCTGTTTCCCTCCCTTCCCATAGCATTTTAGGATTGTCCATACCCTTATCTAATCGTCATAAACAGTTCCCACGCTCCGGACTACTCGCTTTGACTACTTCCTTCACCACTTCCTACGTCGCGGACCTGTTTTCCTCCCTTCCCATAGCATTTTAGGATTGTAGAAACCTTAATCTAATCGTCATAAACAGTTCCCACACTCCGGACAGCTCGCCTTGACTACTTCCTTCACCACTTCCTACGTCACGGACCTGTTTCCCTCCCTTCCCATAGCATTTTAGGATTGCCCATACCTTTATCTAATCGTCATAAACAGTTCCCACACTCCGGACTACTCGCCTTGACTACTTCCTTCACCACTTCCTACGTCGCGGACCTGTTTCCCTCCCTTCCCATAGCATTTTAGGATTGCAGATAACCTGATCTTATCGTAATAAACAGTCCCCACACTCCGGACTGCTCGCCTTTACTACTTCCTTCATCACTTCCTACGTCACGGACCTGTTGCCCTCCCTTCCCATAGCATTTTAGGATTGTCCATACCCTTATCCAATCATCATAAACAGTTCCCACACTCCGGACAGCTCGCCTTGACTACTTCCTTAACACCTTCCTTCGTCACGGACCTGTTTCCCTCCCTTCCCATAGCTATTTAGGATTGCCCATACCCTTATCTAATTGTCATGAACAGTTCCCACGCTCCGGACTACTCGCCTTGACTACTTCCTTCACCACTTCCTACGTCATGGACCTGTTTCCCTCCCTTCCCATAGCATTTTAGGATTGCCCATACCCTTATCTAATCGTCATAAACAGTTCCCACACTCCGGACAGCTCGCCTTGACTACTTCCTTCACCACTTCCTACGTCACGGACCTGTTTCCCTCCCTTCCCATAGCATTTTAGGATTGCCCATACCCTTATCTAATCGTCATAAACAGATCCCAGACTTCTCACTGCTACCCTTGACTACAATGTATGGAGTAATCTTCAGTATAATCTTTGCTAAATGATGTTTTTCCTTTTGTACTGTATTTGTAATTTGCTAGTATACTGTGGGTAGTTGGCTTATTATGAACACATGCTACAACTTCGAGTCTTTTGTTTACTTTTTCCTTGTTATTTAATTCAGCCAACAAGGTTACCTAGCAACCCATAAGACTAATGTTAAAAAAATGTGATTTTCAGTTTCATTTTCTACGTAATTAGATTTTTGTTGGCAGTTCTAACTGCAGTAAACTCGTTTTTAGGCCAGAATTAAACTATTTACAACATTTGAAGAAAATCGTCGGAACCGTTTTCGAGATCTTTGTGCAAGCAAGCATACATACATACATACATACATACATACATACATACATACATACATACATACATACATACAAGCAAACATTGCTCGTATTAGAGTATAGGATAACAACCATAATTTCCGATTATTTTAAAAGAGTCGACTAAAAGATTATTAACTAATGGAAATACTCACAATTTACATAACAGTCCTATTCCAGTTTGAAGGGTGAATTTTTAACTATCAAACTGCCCATAGACGGGAAAAGGTAAGCTTACAATTTAAGTCAACGTAAAAAGGCTGTCAGCTTTTATAATGTACCGTACCTAAGTTATTTAGCCAATTTGTAGACAATAAGCTGTAGGCTACTTTAAACTCTACAGGACAGAGTTAGGCAAAAACTGGCAGAACTCTGAAATGGTGTTATTTATCACAGGCATACTCATATGGCAAATCTTAGGCCGGTATTACACTATCATAGTTCTATGACATATTATATTATCATAGTTCAAAACCATTATAATAGTTGTTATTAAGGCTTACCTTTAAATAAGTCCATAGAGACACATAAAACATCACAAAATTAAAAGTAGAAATTTTCGTGGTCACTGACCACTTTTTCAACCACTGGAGATTGGAGAAATGGCAATGGCAGTTGCAATTTGAATCTATTACACCTTGTCAGGGTTGCCAACACAGATGAAGAGACTAAAAATTGTTTTTACTGTTGCATATGTATGAATGTGTTCACTTATTATGAATAATCCACTATATTTACACTGTTCTGTATTTACACATATGTACACACACATATTAAACATTTTTTATATACACTAGCCTGCTATGGAAGGTGAGGAATGGGGTTTATCTTAGATTAGGTTTGGTAATAATTCCTGGCAAATGCCCTATCTTTTTATAAGATAACATTATAATAGTTGGTACATTACACTGTAATAATTTTCATCAAAGACATATGATAATAGATATATGTCATAGAACTATGATAGTGTAATACGGGCCTATATTGAAACACAAACCAACATCCAAAACTATACAAAATTTTAATACAACATAGATAAATTACACATTGACTGTATACAATTAACATATGTTCTTCTTCTCACTTTTAATTTTTGCTTCGCAACGGGAAAAATCTGTTTCATAATCATTGAAATAGATTTATAATAAATAATCCATCATAAAGTTTAAGATTAAATAAACCCAAGGCCCTACCACATAGTTGTTTTATTTTTTTTTATCAGTTGTTTGAAATTGTGAAATAGGCATTTGACAGTTCTGGTTGTTTACATTTAAATGTTAAAGCAAATGTAAACATTGTACATTTTCTCATGCTTCCATGGAGTTTCAAAACATGGACATGTTGTTTTTTATGGAGTTAGCTAGAGTTTCAAAACAATGTTTGTTTCCCATGTTAATCTTATGGAGAAATACAAAATTTTAAAGGGCCCCAGGGCCTCACTCTCTTATTATTTACCTAAAAAGAAAGTTTCCTGCACAACTTCACGTTACGCTCTTTCCAATGACACCAAAAATATGTCAATCAGTTCAGTAGTTTCGGAGGAGTAATTGTCACAAAAATCCTGCTTGCGTATTAAATAAGTACTAGAGGTCGTCCAGTGGTCGAAACTCGACCAAAAATTTGTAATGTACAGACTTCTCTATTTTCACCCCACACTGTAAATTAAACATGTGATTGGAGTTTCTTCAATTTGTTTTGATTTTATGTTTATATTTCGTTGTTATTTCGTCACCAGCATGGAAACCCATAAAGCCCATGTTAATTTTTTTTCAAATTTCAAATTCATTTTTTGTGCTTATTTCTGAGCCTATTTTAATTTTTAAAGGGATTCTGCACACCTACAGAAAAATATCTTTCTAACAGTATGCGAAGATTTTTCCTGCGATGCACAGGAGCTGAGAAAAAAGGTTTTAAAGAAACATGCTTGCCTATTAATATATAGATAGATAGATAGATAGATTTTAAATAGTTCAACATATGGATGGTAACCCAATCGTTATAGACAAAGTGATTGAATGACTTACTAAACAGCTGCTTGTTTCCATCAGCAAATTTAATTGAAAACAAGTTAGAATGAGAGGTTATCTTTAAATAAAAACTTTTCAGTTTTGTATCATAGTTTGTTCAAATAATGGTTCAATATGACAAATAAATACAGGATGTCCGGGCTAGAGTTATCAAGAAATAACAATCTCGTATCATATTAAAATGTAATTTTTATTTTAAAATACCAATGCTAACATGTCATAAATACAATCTAGATTGGTATCTTTCTATTGTTCAATGTGATCACCATAAGTCACTCTCAAGACCAATGCAAGATCAGTAATCAATCTCCCCCGCCTTACGTTGTTTAGCATTTCTGGCGTTACCCTCTACACTGCAGTCACAATCATGTGCCTTAGTTCCTGTAAACTTTGCAATCTTACCTGGTACACAATAAAAAGTTCTTTTCAACTCTCGCTCATTTGACGGCCTCGGCTTTGCCTTGTTTGTAAAACTTGAGATCGGGCTAAAAAGAGTCACTTTAGGCCCTAGTATTGAAATATACTATTTTATCAATCGGTATAGAAAAGTTAGGCATTTTCGATGACAGCTGATATCAAAAAAGATAATTGTTTCCAAAGCTTTAATTTAGAGCAAGGGAGATAAAATTACACTGATTTTCCCTTCTGTTGTGTTACTGTGTTTGGCTTTGTCTCACTCATGAAATGTGAGGGAACTCCACCTTGTAATATGTGTGTTGATACATGTGATGAAATTGTTACAGATGGACGGGTTATTCAAAATATAAATAAATTTTTTTATTATGCAAAACATATTTATCTTACATAACTATTAACTATACACACATAGGCGGCATAGGCCTATACAATATATGCACATCAGAAATGATTCACAATACTATTCCTGACTCACTAGTATCAAAAACTAAATACTTAAAAAGAATTTTAAAAATCATTAAGATAGTTACAAAACATTGTTTCCTTTTCAATTTTCATCTTGTGCACTGTCCCTGATTCCTGAAACATATATAACCATTGATATAACATACGTTTTTAAATCATTTTTCGATAAAACAATGTTCTAGAAAATTTGCTAGTCAAGAGGTATATTTAGGCCTACCAACAATGATTTTGCAACCGGTCTATCAAATTATGAGTATTATGACCTGTAAGTATCATAAATAAGAAGACTTTATTCCAATGTCAAGTCTTATTTGGTATTGCTTTGTATCCACTAAATTGCCTCCCTAACTTACTTTCTACCATGTACAACAATAATCTATATACAGGGCGTCCCACGAAGAGGTTAAGCTTTTGATTTGATATTTATTGCCCTTTTATAGACAGAACATATTGAAACTTTATACAATTTATGATGATATAAAGATTCTGAACAAGTTTAAGCTTTCTAACCCTTGTAGAAACAAAATAGTGGCATTTATTGTTGAATTTATTATTTTAATTCTTACTTCAATTAAAGATGTATTCCATCAGTTCTACATTATCCTATACACTTTGGGCTAAGAACTTTCAGTAAAATACCAGCTTTCTTTTCAGCTATTGAATATTAAGATCGTACGTACTCGAAGCACGCTGCTGAATTACAAATCAACAATAACTAGCCAATAATTATTTTAGGATTTATCTGCAATCAATGATATGTAACTCAATTTTTATTTTATTTTAGTTATTTTATATGTCTTGGTGTTAAATACTCCTAGAGATAAAGGCTTTCATTTGGGATATTAAACGTTTGAGACAGTTAAGTTCAAGATACTGTATTACTCAATCAAAAAACATATATTTCATTATTTCTCAGATAGGTATGGAATTTAATTTTAGGATATATTTACTCAGTTATAATTACGTTATCCTATATGTTTTAATCACAGAACCTTCAGTGAAATACCAGCTTTCACGATTACTAGAAAAATACCGGTATGGATCATAAACATAAACAAATGACGTTGTTGGCCCGAATCCTATACTAATAGCATTGAACATATGTTTTAGCAGTTCCATTTAAGCAATGTTAAATAATGTTTATTTTCGGGCCAAAAACGTAATTTGTTTATGTTTATGATCCATACCGGTACCGGTATTTTTCCCGTAATCGTGCCAGCTTTCATTTGAGTTATTGATTGTAAAGATAGGTAGTACCTACCTAAATCACAAAAAACCCAAATTGTTAAAAAAATCATTATCATAAAAAATTATTATTATCAATCGAGTTATTATCATCGATTGATAGTTAAATGATTTTGCTTGAAACCTCAACAGTAACTGTCGATTTCGACAGGTTTCACCTAGTTAAATCCGAAGTTAAAGTGTCATATTATTAACACTTATTATTAACATATAATTAAAACTCAATTCCCTTTGTTTACAACTTTGTTACAACATATGGATGTAGTTTGAAATAGTTTATAAGGTTAACCACGGACTGCAGGACTTATTTCTTCCGGAGCAAAGCCGGAATATATATTTTATTTAAACATCTGTTAATTATTGTGTTGTTTTGGTTACAGTTCGGTGTGATGAAATGAATGTTTGAAAGTGATTATTTACAGTGCAGTTACCTGTTAGATTACCATAACATGTAATTTACAGTGTATATCATAATTCCGTTGTAGTGTTTTCTATTTTTTTATTAACTTTCGTATTTTATTTAAATGTAAAATGAAATGCCACCAGTAAAACGAAGAACTGTGAGTGGCTGGAGGAAACGTGATTGTGGCCGCTTGCATCAACCTCCCAATGGACATTTGAAGGTTACAGAGTGGTAGTACCGTCGTGGTGATACATCCAACCTCGGACAGTTGAACGTTAAATGTTTACATTACATTATGTTGGCTTACATTTTAAGCAAAATAAGACTTGCAGAACAGTTAAATTGTTACTCTTTGTTGCCATAAATGAGAGAACCGTGTACCTCATCTGCGGAATTCACCATACTTTTAGGAACTTATTGTAAACTCCCAATCTGAAAACGGGGCTGTGAGGCTTAAACCTAGAAATTATTTGGATAAAATTTGTCAATTCAATTCCGCCTTTGCCATGGTCAGCTCTGAAGCTCATTTAGATGAGAAGATCAGTTTTACCTCCGAGTAGGTAATGTAATTCCTTGAGAAGGTCATCCTGAACATGCACGATGTTCAAGTATTACGTTGGGACTGGAACAGCACATGAAACACAATTCAAATAAAAAATTCAATGAAAAAATATGTGAGAAATAGGGTCACATTGCCAACTCATTTGCCCAATCTAAAAAAAAAAAACTGTGGCAGAAATTGGTAGGGTCGAGAGCTACGAGAAGTCAAGTGTGATTCTTATGTACATAATAAGGGACAAAATAAGTGACTTCCCTCGCCACAATGATGCTACCTGTATAGATGTGGCAGCTATATTTAAAGCTTAAAACAGAGCACCACCTGACCAAGTTTCTTTTTAAAAAAAACTAATAATGTTAAACGCAAAAACGTTCTAGATCCGTCTTTAGATCCACTTGCTTACCCTCTAATGTTCCTAACCGGAGACTTTGGTTGGGGCCCCTAATTTAAACACGCCTAAAACAGAACCTATCGTAGAAATAATTTAACAATGCTATAGTACGAGTCGTACTGATTGGCGTCAGGAGAGGGATTTAGCTTGCTACATTAGGTCTGAAAAGCCTACTTTACAGTGTGTGTGGTTGACATCTACGTTCTCATTAAGGGCACCCGCCTACTACAGTATATAAGAGATAGATAACCAAAGCAGTATGAGATCGGATCTATATTTAAATATTGTAGGTTACTTTTATAATTTTTTACTACATAATATTTTTCATATTACTCTAAACAGTCATAAAAGTCTTTGATAGAATGACTCTTTGATTGCCTTTTTGCTGTTTATGTTTTTATTACAAGTTGCAGTTTTGCTCGATTTCTAGCAACAGGTAATCAATCTAGTAAGCTATTACCCTCCCTAGGTCTCAAGACCTGGACCCAGGACCGATTTACATTTTCGTTTTGAGGTCGCCAGAGGCCAGAAACACCCTCTGTTCAAATTCATATACAGGATGTCCATAAAAAACGTTTCAGGACTTAGGGATATGAATGCTAATTCTAAAAGGAAGAAAAAATTTTATGTGAAGGTATGTCCAAAAATGCATTTTATTACCTAGATATCATCCATTTTGTTTTTATACATAACTATTTTTATCTTTGAAGTTTTTCAACCGATGATTATGAAACTTGAATGAATGAATGAAAATACTTATTTATTGAGGCGAACAATTAGGACCACATGGTCCTTTCTTACAGTTAACCTCGATAAAGTCTCATTACCATTAAACAACAGTACAGGTACAGTACTCAGTACCATTAAAATAAACATGGTCCGATAAGAAATTTCAAAATGTGGGCGTTTTAATTTTTATAACTTGAATAACTCGAAAATAGATAATTTTATCAAAAAATATCAAAAACATTTTTTTTGCATTTTTAATTTCCTATAGATAACTATTTTTATTTTTAAAGTTTTTCAACCGATGATAATGAAACTTAAATGAATGAATGAAAATACTTATTTATTGAGGCGAACAATTAGGACCACATGGTCCTTTCTTACAGTTAACCTCGATAAAGTCTCATTACCATTAAACAACAGTACAGGTAGAGTACTCAGTACCATTAAAATAAACATGGTCCGATAAGAAACTTCAAAATGTGGGCGTTTTAATTTTTATAACTTGAATAACTCGAAAATAGATAATTTTATCAAAAAATATCAAAAACATTTTTTTTGCATTTTTAATTCCCTATAGATAACTATTTTTATTTTTAAAGTTTTTCAACCGATGATAATGAAACTTAAATGAATGAATGAAAATACTTATTTATTGAGGCGAACAATTAGGACCACATGGTCCTTTCTTACAGTTAACCTCGATAAAGTCTCATTACCATTAAACAACAGTACAGGTACAGTACTCAGTACCATTAAAATAAACATGGTCCGATAAGAAATTTCAAAATGTGGGTGTTTTAATTTTTATAACTTGAATAACTCGAAAATAGATAATTTTATCAAAAAATATCAAAAACATTTTTCTTTGCATTTTTAATTCCCTATAGATAACTATTTTTATTTTTAAAGTTTTTCAACCGATGATAATGAAACTTAAATGAATGAATGAAAATACTTATTTATTGAGGCGAACAATTAGGACCACATGGTGCTTTCTTACAGTTAACCTCGATAAAGTCTCAATACCATTAAAGCAACAGTACAGGTACAGTACTCAGTACCATTAAAATAAACATGGTCTGATAAGAAATTTCAAAATGCGGCCGTTTTAATTTTTATAACTTAAATAACTCAAAAATAGATAATTTTATCAAAAAATGTCAAAAACATTTTTTTATCATTTTTAATTCCCTATACATAACTATAACTCAAAAATATATAATTTTATTTAAAAATGTCAAAAACATTTTTTTAGCATTTTTAATTCCCTATACATAACTATTTTTTTTTTTAGTTTTCAACCAATGATAATGAAACTTGGTAAGCACGTTAACGTACACAAGACCTATTATAAAAAAATAAATAAAGTTAGTCTTATAAGAAATTTCAAAATGGCGGCTGTTTTAATTTTAGTGAATTTCCCCTATAGGGAATAAGCTATTACCGTAGTGTTAATGGTAAGACCTTGACCCGGGACCGATTTACTTTTTCTTTTTGAGGTCCCTAGAGACCAAAAACACCATCCGTTCAAATTCATGTGTATATTTATTTATATGTGTCCGTTAGCGCGATAACTCAAGCAAAAATCATCCGATTTTGATTAAATTTTGTTACAAACGTGTAAACCAACGTTTATTCGAACGAGTTCGCGAACCAGCATGATCGGACTATGGGATCAGGGGTTTAAGGGGGGTTTTATGGGGTAAAAATTGGTTTTTCCCATTTTTGACCCTAAAAACTTAAAATTTAGCAATTTCTTTTCAAACCATTTTGTAGAGCTTAAAAAACAAATAATTTAGTACATTGAAGCGTTGTTATGCGCCTAACAGTTACGGAGAAAATTCCAAAAATATGTAAATAAAAAATGCCCATGTTACTCTTATGGAGAATTAGTAAACTGTCGTAGTTTGCTTGTTTATGAACATATTTTGATCAAATTTGGAAAATGCATTCATTTCGTACTAAACTATTACATTTTACAAAAAAATACTTTTTACCCTCCCTGTTGCAGCAAACCTAAGTACTCGTTAAACTAATGTTATTTAAATAGGAAATAAAAATGTGATATTTTTAAGGAGACATTTTAGTGTAAATCCAGTCAGGCAAATGGAAATTTGTTTAGTCTGCAGGTTTGCTGTTGTGGGGGTACTTATAACTTAAATAAGTCAAAAATAGATAATTTTATCAAAAACATTTTTTTAGCATTTTTAATTTCCTATATGTAAACGATTTTTATCTTTGAAGTTTTTCAACCGATGATAATGAAACTTGGTAAGCATGTTAACGTACAAAAGACCTATTAAAAAAAATAAAATAAAGTTAGTCCGATAAGAAATTTCAAAATGGTGGCCGTTTTAATTTTATAACTTAAATAACTCGAAAATAGATAATTTTATCAAAAAATGTCAAAAACTTTTTTTAGCATTTTTAATTCCCTATACATAACTATCTTTATCTTTGAAGTTTTTCAACCGATGATAATGAAACTTGGTAAGCATGTTAACGTACACAAGACCTATTAAAAAAAAATTAATAAAGTTAGCCCGATAAGAAATTTTAAAATGGCGGCCGTTTGAATTTTTATAGCTTAAATAACTCGAAAATATATAATTTTATCAAAAAAGTCAGAAACACTTTTTTTAGCATTTTTAATTCTCTGAACCGCACCCAAGATCGCACAGCATTTAACTGAAATAGAACGGTTTTTAGTTGTAAGGATAAGGCTAAATGAAGTGAATCCTGTCTAGCTTTGCCTTATTTTCCACCAAAAACATTATATTTCAGTTATTTGCCCTTTGATCTTTTTGATCTTGTTTCATAATAAGCTATCAACATTTCAATAATAAAAAAAAAAAAAAAAAAAAAAAAAAAACAGACCGCAATACTTTCCCTGCAGCAGCAAACCTAAGTAAAATCAATTTAATTAGGAAATAAATCTGACAATTTTAAGGGAATATTTTAGTAAAAATTCAGCCAGGTAAATGGAAATTTGCTTAGTCTGTAGATTTGCTGCAGCAGGGGGTATGTTAAAACCTAAATAAATTTTTCTCTGATCAACATACTCTGCCTTTGTTAGCCTCAAATACGCTAATTTTCTAATGGAAAATTTTAGATTGTTAGTATTGTAATCCAACTATTATTCATTAATAGACATATTACTCAGCTAACTGTGCTGCAGAAAAGGATTCGTACAGTTTTCCTAGTAATCAACAAGAAATTGATGCAAATTTGATTTATAAACTTACAGTAAGGGTTTTTCACTGTAACATTGCTTTTTTGCCCCTCCTATTTAAAAATTTTTCACAATTTAGGTGTCATTTTAAAGCTTGTGATTTGGCGGAGAGATGGATGGTAACTAAAAAGGTTAATTTCGTTTAGGGCCTCACCCCCCTAGAATTTAATTTATTTCTAAAATTTGCTTTCAAAGATCCAGCCAGTGGTGCTGACCAACTTTCTTTAAAACAGGCGTAATGTGAAATTTTTTGTGCTACTTATTTTTTGATAGTTGTAACATGATGTAGGTAGTTGAATCACTATTTACAGTGTAGATCTACTATCAATAAATTTAACGTATTGTAAATGAGTAGTTTTATCAACCTAATAACTGTATTTGAGCTGTCTAATAATAAACATACTCTTTTAAAGATAAAAACACAAGACAATATAGTAACCAAAAGGATAATTTGTTTTGCCTCGGAAATAAGATTTTAACTTTATTGAAATATGCTATTTGCACACAGGTCATCTCGTATTGGGTTTATTTAAATATAGCTTCCTAATTTTAAATGTTTTTTTTTAACCCAACTTCTATTAAAGAGTAGTTAACTACTTACATTGTGATCTCAGAAGTGATTGTATTGCGATCCTATGACCCTCTGGCCTCTGCGGCTAGCTTTATATTCCTTGACTAGTTCAGCATCATCATCAGTAGGAACTCCTTCATTAGTTTCTTCACTTCCACCGCCTTCTTCTTCTCCTCTCGGGTCAGGATAGTCTCTAGTGCCACCACCGTTGCCACCACCGTTGCCACCAGTAATACCACCGTTGCCACTAGGAAAACCACCGTTGCCTCCTACGCTCTGCCATACACTACACAATGTAGTGGGAGATAGACCAGTGCCTGGTCTATGAACACACTGCATCAAGTAGCTTTGAGTCGGATCAATCTGCTGCTTGTTACCCAATCCAGAGGTAAAATCATCATCCAATCTAGAGAAAAACCTGTTGTTCGATCCAGAGGTAAAATCATCACCCAATCTAGAGGAAAACCTGTTGTTCAATCCAGAGGAAACCCCAGTATGCCTACGAAAGTCGGTAGGTAACCCCATGTCACTTAACGATGTGGGAATGCCAGAAAAAGAAGTTTCTGGATAGTCAAACTGAGGAAGAGCATAGCCGTCTCTACTAGAGACGGTTATGGGAAGAGGCGAGGTGGCTACATGGTGTACACACACGCAGATGAGTAGAGTCACTGATGTCTTCATGGTCACCGACAGCTTGAGACTGAACAAGCTTTGTCAGTGGTCTATATATTTGGTGGTTAATCTATGTGACCTCTAGACCCTAGATTGCATCGTTCTGCCGCAATCCGGGGTTTTACAATCTTTTTGTATAAAAATAAATTACAGGCAAGTATCCTCATCGTTTTGGTTAATAGTTTTTTTTTCTCTGTAGGTACAAAACTGGAACCTGCTGTCTTTGATCTTTGGGTGATAAATGATCTTGGCTAATGAAATAGCTGGTGTAGTCAGTAAGAAAGCTCACTCACTCCAAGGCGTATAAAAGAAGATGTGTGCATAGTGACGTCACACGCGAGCTGAACGTGTTTTATTTTACCAAATTATATGTTTTCTTGTAATTTCCCAAAGACTTTCGAATGACAACCATTACGAATTAGCATTATACAAGGTGCGGCAAAAAAACCAATATATTTTCTTCAGCGCACTGTTCAGTGACCGTCTGAGGGTTTTGGGAGTAGGCTCGTTGGATAGCCTATACGATGCCATTTATTGTAATCATAGAGCAGTGGTTGTATAGGACTAGTCAATGGTGGTATGCAGTTACTTTTGTTCCTTTAATCAATAGTAAGTGTGTAACTATTTTTTAGTGTCTATAGTGAATGGTGTAAGTACGAATATAAATTCCATGATCTATGGAACAGGTAGAATTAGACTTAAAACCAGCTGTTTTGTTGAGGTTTTTTTATAATAGGAAATTTGTATCTTAATTGACATGTTGTTTCTTTTTTTTTATGTGTTTTTTGCTTACTATTCAGGGTAAGAAACAATTTGGGTAAAAGGAATAAGCGGTTACGGTAGGTGTCATGGTAAGACCTAGACCCAGGACTGTTTTGTCTTTACAATATTAAATGACATCAAAAGCCAAAAACAAGATTGTTCATCTGTTTATTTAAACAAGGGTTCGAACAGATGTATATGCCAATTAAAGAGAATTGCATGTACCTAACCTGCAGCCTGATACGTAAAGCTTTAGAGCTCGGCCTGCCTGAGTACCTGTGTGAGAAACTTCTCTCTCGCCGAGATGTCTCTGTCCGCAGCAAGAGGCAGGACAAGTTGTTGCACTTTCCTAGAGTCAGGCATGAGGTGGGGACGCCTTCTCATACTTTGGCCCTACCATGCATAATGCTCTCCCTAATCAGGTAAAGGGGTCAACACTGAACACATTTAAAAAACATTTGAAAGAATATTTATGTAGCAAATGATTTAGTATTTCAAGTAAATATATGTTTTTTTTTTGTATGTTTTTAATGTAAATTATTGTTATTTTTTGTATCGAAAAGTCTGGTCATGTTAAAGTAATGTTTGTCAAAAATTGTTTTTTGAAATTGTTTTCATAGATTGTTAGTATGGATTGTTTTTACATATTTTTCATAGATTGTTGTATACATAGATTGTTTTATATGTATAGTTTACTAGCTGTAACCCGCGGGCTTTGCCCCGTTTAACTTCTTAATTTTCAAGATGATCTCGTTCGCATGGCTCAATCACGTCCTGGTTGAAGTTCGTTCGCTCCGCTCACTCACCTTTAGGTTGGAGCTCGTTCGCTGCGCTCACTTGCATTCAGGTTAGCTCGTTCGCTACGCTCACTTGCCTTCAGGTTAGCTCGTTCGCTACGCTAACTCGCCTCCAGGTTGAAGTTCGTTCGCTACGCTCACTCACCTTTTGGGTGCAAATTAGCTGTTGTCATAAATGTAAAAGAAATAATAGTGCTGCACCCTGTTGGTAATCCTTGTAACTTTAATACTATTGAACATCATAGAACAGAACCAACTTGTTTAATTGAAACAACTGTTAAGATTCATTAATTCCTTTTAAATATGAAAAATCATAAGGCTAACATGGGAAACTCTAGAGCCACTGGGGCGGAGCCCGAAAGCTCGATCAGAATAAAGACTACCTTAGTTTTCCTATTTAATACCCAAAGAATCGGTGTACCGAATTTCAGCCTCCTAGGTAAATGGGAAGTGGGAGAATTAGAAAGTACAATGATGGTAAATGGAATTCAGGTGAAATAGTAGAGAAAAAGTTTGAAATAACAGAACTTGAGAATTTATGTAGGAGAAGAAAAGATAATGCAATGAGTAAAATGATTAAAATAAAGAAAAAAGAATTTAAAGAATCAATTAACAAAGCGAAACAAACATTTTACGGCAAAAAGATAAAAAATGCCACTAATAAAACTAAAGTAACATGGAAAATTATAAAAAAAGAAATAAAACTTAAGTCGAAAACAGTAGATCTAACTTCAAATAAAACCATTATTCAAAATGGTCAAACGGTAACACACTCACTGGCAGTGAGTAATATATTTAATAACTTTTTTACAACTGCAGTTGAAAAGCTTGTTTTGCCATATGTTTCACAACCATTAACAACAGCAATAGGTACAGTAACACAGAAACCCTCAAAATCTTGCATTATTAAAAATTTTAAGTTTGAATCTATAACTGAAGACAATCTTAGAAAATTAATACTTTCTTTTGAAAATAAATATTCAACGGGGTATGATGAAATACCTATCACAATAATTAAAAGATCATTACCATATATTTTAAAACCATTAGCACATGTAATAAATTCTTCTCTGATTTCAGGAATTTTTCCATCCAAATTAAAATTAGCCAAAGTTATTCCCATATTCAAAAAAGGAAACACCACAGACCCATCATGCTATCGCCCAATATCTCTTTTACCGGTTTTTTCAAAAATTTTTGAACGAGTTGTTTATATTCAGCTCTTTAATTACCTTGAAACGAATCAAGTGTTTGATAAGGAGCAACACGGGTTTAGACCAGGAAAATCTACAATAACAGCTGGTATAGATTTTATTGAATCAATTATAAATTCAGTAGATAATGGTGATAAAGTAGTTGGAATATTTTTAGACCTTAGTAGAGCTTTTGACAGCGTTTCACATTGTAAACTATTAAATATTTTACGTGTACTGGTGAAATTACCTGCTGTCAAGTGATCCTTTTGACCTTGAAAGGCGACCGGTTTCGATCCTCACGGGATCATCTTCAGGCGGACGTCGTCATCGTCTTTTCGTTCTTGCGAACACGTCGTTTTTTAAAAAACATTGAGTAGACAGTTTTTAACATTTGTTAAAACAAATGTTTTTACAAACTGTGTTTGTACAAACTGTTACAGTTAAAACAAATGTTAAAAACTGTCTACTCAATGTTTTTTAAAAAACGACGTGTTCGCAAGAACGAAAAGACGATGACGAAGTCCGCCTGAAGATGATCCCGTGAGGATCGAAACCGGTCGCCTTTCAAGGTCAAAAGGATCACTTGACAGCAGGTAATTTCACCAGTACACGTATTGATCAGTGATTCGGAGGCTTAACTCAAACAAAATAAATATTTTAAATGAATTAGGAATAATAGGAAAAGAATTACGGTGGTTCACTTCATATTTAGAAAACAGAGAACAGTTTGTTGAAGTGGACTACGTAATAGAGAAAAGAAATACTAAATATATTGAAAACTTTAGATCTCAGCGGCAGACACTACGATATGGAGTACCCCAGGGATCGATCTTGGGGCCTCTTTTGTTCCTCTGTTACATTAAGGGGTTACCAGAGATGATCCCGGTCAGTGATGGATCTATGTGTCTGTATGCTGATGACTCTAATGTTTTGTTTTCAGGAAAATCCAATTTAACTATTGAAAAATCCTCAAACAGGAGTCTCCTCTCTATAAAAAAGTTTTTGGATGAAAGAAATCTGCTTATCAGCACAACAAAATCAAATCTAATATCCTTTTCAACTAAACAATCAATAACAGCATTTGAACCTAATATTTTTATAAAAACAGACAAAATTGGTAAATCAAACAAAGTTTCTGGGACTGGTTATTGATGAAAATCTATCTTGGGATAATAACATAAACTATGTAGTAAATAAATTATCATCTGGCATTCATGCCTTGCGGCTGATGTCCAAGGTTTGCAACTTGGAAACTCTTAGGATTATCTATTATTCTCTAATTCATTCCCACATATCCTATGGAATCGCCATTTACGGAGCAACAACTAAGGCAAATTTGGATAAAATACTTATAAAACAAGAAAAAGCTATTAGAGTGATCATGAAATTAAAAAGAACAGATTCAGTTAAAAATATCTTTCCTGAATTGGGTGTATTAACAGTTTACAGTTTGTATATATATGAGACAATAATTTATGCAAAACAATTTCATTTATTATCCACTGCAAGTAAATATAACACACGCTTTCAAATTAACCTTCCTAGACATAATTTAGAATTCTATACCAAAAAACCTTCATATGCAGGCTTAAAATTTCTTCAAAAATTACCGATTTCACTTAAAAAATAAAATAATACAAACCGATTCAAAAGCCTACTAAAAGACTTGTTGATAAGAAACCCATTTTATTCCATCAAATAATTTTTAAATTGTAATCTCGAAACGACCATTTGAATTCCAGTTACTACCTAGTTTTACTCTAACGTAACCTTCTAAGATTTTGTGATTTTTTAAAGTTATAGCACTCATTTTTAGTTTTACTATATAAATCCTTTGTGAATGATTTTAATTATTTAGTTTATAATTTTTTGTTTATGTTAGTTTAATGACGCTATTCAAGACATATTGTCTAAACTTTGTGAATAAAGAATATTTGATTGATTGATTGATAGGCCTACAACTTTAGCAATTTTTAAATAGTCTGGAAAGATGCGAAACTGTGGTTGTTTCATGTTAGTCCATAGACAAAGCTTCAGTTTCACATATTCTATGAATTGTTTTTGTTGTTGCTACTGTATTAATTTTTAATCAAAATAATTAATCAATGTTTTGGATCCATTCACTTTTTGAGAATATTTTTATGTCTAAACTTAGTGATTTTTTTAGGCAAAACTTCGATCCAAACCGGGTGGTTGTTCCTGCACAGAAGAAGGTTCATCGAGTGATTGCCCAGTACAAGGCTCTTGGATGGAATGAGACAGACAAAAAAGTCATCGCCAAGTATGTACTACGGTAACCTACACTAGAGTTCTTTCTCTCTTGTATTTTATAGTTTTTTTTTTATTTTTCCTATGCCTATTTACTGTACCTAGGTATATGCAAGTAGTGTATATACAAGTAACAATAGTCAAAAAAATTTTGATAATTTTTTAAGCAATCACATGTTAATTTTCCATCAGAGCTTTCCAGTAAAAGTATTAAACAAAATTCTAACAACAGTGTAAAAGCAAAAGGCTGAATCACTCAAGGAATTAGAATATCTACTGCTAGAAAACGAGAATGAAGCAAGTTGCCTAAAAATTATAATAACCAGCAATTTATTCAATATTGTAAGATTTATAAAAATATATTTAAATCGGTGTTCAGACTGTTTAAGAAACGTTCCCTCAGTAACTACATTCAAAATTCAGTTTACAAAATTAAGGCTGTCTAGTATCAGAACTTGGATTGTGTAGAAAGAAATATAGTCTGCCCAATATTGAACATGATAGTCAATAATGGCCAAGAAAGGCCCTCTAACATTTTAACATACCCCTAGGAGTAACATTTGAATAGGCAATAACAAATTTGCTGACATTGCAAAATACAATTCAGCTAACTTTAACCTTTTCAATGCCCTTTATTAATGAGAAATTTTAAACTTAATCATAATATGTAGCTGTTTTTGATTATTCACCAATTTCAAAAGAAAAATTACCTAAAGCAATTTGTTCCCTAAAAAATAAAATGTCAGCTGGTTGGGCAGTAACGCTGATAAAGAACCCCAACAATGTTATTGCAGGTCCATTAAGCTTCATAATAAACCAATATTGTTTACCGAGTGGAATTTTTCCTTAACTAAAAGTCGCTGAAATTAAACCTCTTTCTTAAGGATGGCAGTAAATCAAATCCTGACAACTACCGTCCAACTTCAATTTCACCAGTTTTCTCTAAAGTATTTGAAAACATTAGGCTCACAAATTTTTTTACAGAACAATATGGTTTTAGATCAGGATGTAATACAACTCAGGATCTGTCTGACTTCTTGTGGGAGGTCGGCTGTGGCATCGATAGGTCTCAGAATGTTGCTGGAATGCTTTGTGACCTGTCAAAAGCCTTTGACTGTGTTGTACATAAAATTTTATTTTCTAAGCTTAAAATTTCAATTTTTCTCCAATTGCTTTGAAGTTTTTAAAATCCTATCTTATAAACCGCTTTCAAAGAACTATTATTATTAAAGACAACATGAGTAGTTCACTACTCATAACTTCTAAAGAGAGGTTATGTTTTCGTTTATAACCTCTCATTGCCGCTGATAGTGATGGAGCTAAACATTGTACCGGTACCAAATACTTATTGCACCACTCAACAATTAAATTGGCCTTAACAACTGATTAGTTGAAGTTTGAATCATTACAATTTTACTTCTCTCAATCCTTGAACCACATTGGTCCGTTACCCGTGTTGTTATGAGTAAAACTATGCTGTAATGTGAAACTTTTTAATTCTAAGAACTGAACTGAAATGGCTACTTTTAAAAACGGTCATAGGTAAAATTGTTAAATTATTATCTGTTTATAGGAAAGTCCGAGATTTAAAGTACATGCAACGAGTCCAGTCAAAGTACACAATGAAGCTTGGAATGAAAGCAAACATTTTGAGCATCAAACGACCTCAAGTAAATTTCTAATCAAGGAAGATTGTGAAGTCCCTAACTACTGGTACAGTATGTTTCATTTTAGGAATTATGTTTTGTATATTGTGTTATTATCAAAATATATTCTGTTTACTAGATTAGGCCTACTTACTTTGTTTATCTCCTGTCAATAACTGTTTGATTATTGTTATATATACTGTTAAACTTGATTGGGAAGGAACATCGTTAAAGCATCAAAGACTTTTCTTGAGATAAAACCAGTAATCTTGATTGAATGGCAAGCACTACCGTCTAGTCTATCACCACTGCGTAAGCTATCAAGTAATTATTTTTTGCATTGTGACTGTTAATTTTAAAGATAACAGATTTTAAATTACGTTTTTGTCATACTGCAGAAAAAAACAGCCATTTTAATGCATGCATTGCGGGTCTAAAGTATCATTTTTACTCTCTAGGGAGTTAAAAAGTGTTTTAGCCCCTATGGAGTAAAAATATCAGCTCTCAATTCAGTTGTATTGTAAATTTCAATTGTAAACATGGCATGTATCAATTCCAATTGATTATTTAATCAATTGTAGCTTATTGTTGACTTATTTTAAATAGTTCAACATATGGATGGTAACACAATCGTTATAGACGAAGCGATTGAATGACTTACTAAACAGCTGCTTGTTTCCATCAGCAAATTAAATTGAAAAACAAGTTAGAGTGAGAGGTTATCTTTAAATAAAAACTTTTCAGTTTTGTATAATAGTTTGTTCAAATAATGGTCAATCAATCAATCAATCGTTGAGATGGGGACGCCACCTAGGTGCGTATTTTAACCCAAATATGAGTGAAGGATGAGTGTAGAATGGTGTGTGATGACCTGTGTAGCTTTGTTACTGACTAAGATCAGCAATCATTAGTCAGGATCATTTATTTAAAGCCCAATGATCAGGAACAGCTGGGTCCAGTTTCGAACCATCAAAAAGCTACTGACTTTTCTCAGGATCGAACCGGCGACCTTTTGATTAATAGGTGAGCACTATAACCACTCAGCTACCCAGCCAGTTATATTGGTTCAATACGACAAAAATACATGATGTCCGACTAGAGTTATCAAGAAATAACAATCTCGTATCATATTAAAATGTAATTTTTATTTTAAAATAGCAATGCTAACATGTCATAAATACAATCTAGATTGGTATCTTTCTATTGTTCAATGTGATCACCATAAGTCACTCTCAAGACCAATCCAAGATCAGTCCAATCAGTAATCAATCTCCCCCGCCTTACGTTGTTTAACATTACTGGCGTTACCCTCTCAACTGCAGTCACAATCATGTGCCTTAGTTCCTGTAAACTTTGCAATCTTACCTGGTACACAATAAAAAGTGTCTTTTCAACTCTCGCTCATTTGACGGCCTCGGCTTTGCCTTGTTTGTAAAACTTGAGATCGGGCTAAAAAGAGTCACTTTAGGCCCTAGTATTGAAATATACTATTTTATCAATCGGTATAGAAAAGTTAGGCATTTTCGATGACAGCTGATATCAAAAAAGATAATTGTTTCCAAAGCTTTAATTTAGAGCAAGGGAGATAAAATTACACTGATTTTCCCTTCTGTTGTGTTACTGTGTTTGGCTTTGTCTCACTCATGAAATGTGAGGGAACTCCACCTTGTAATATGTGTGTTGATACATGTGATGAAATTGTTACAGATGGACGGGTTATTCAAAATATAAATACATTTTTTTATTATGCAAAACATATTTATCTTACATAACTATTAACTATACACACATAGGCGGCATAGGCCTATACAATATATGCACATCAGAAATGATTCACAATACTATTCCTGACTCACTAGTATCAAAAACTAAATACTTAAAAAGAATTTTAAAAATCATTAAGATAGTTACAAAACATTGTTTCCTTTTCAATTTTCATCTTGTGCACTGTCCCTGATTCCTGAAACATATATAACCATTGATATAACATACGTTTTTAAATCATTTTTCGATAAAACAATGTTCTAGAAAATTTGCTAGTCAAGAGGTATATTTAGGCCTATCAACAATGATTTTGCAACCGGTCTATCAAATTATGAGTATTATGACCTGTAAGTATCATAAATAAGAAGACTTTATTCCAATGTCAAGTCTTATTTGGTATTGCTTTGTATCCACTAAATTGCCTCCCTAACTTACTTTCTACCATGTACAACAATAATATATATACAGGGTGTCCCACGAAGAGGTTAAGCGTTTGATTTGATATTTATTGCCCTTTTATAGACAGAACATATTGAAAATGTATACAATTTATGGTGATATAAAGATTCTGAAAAAGTTTAAGCTCCCTAACCCTTGTAGAAACAAAATAGTGGCATTTATTGTTGAATTTATTATTCAAATTCTTACTTCAATTAAAGATGTATTTCACCAATTCTAAATGCATTATCCTATACACTATGGGCTAAGAACTTTCAGTAAAATACCAGCTTTCTTTTCAGCTATTGATTATTAAGATCGTACGTACTCGAAGCACGCTGCTCAATTACAAATCAACAATAATTAGCCTATAATTAATTTAGGAATTATCTGCAATCAATGATATGTAACTCAATTTTTATTTTATTTTTGTTATTTTATATGTCTTGGTGTTAAATACTCCTAGAGATAAAGGCTTTCATTTGGGACATTAAACGTTTAAGACAGTTAAGTTCAAGATACTGTATTACTCAATCAAAAAACATATATTTGATTATTTCTCAGATAGGTATGGAATTTAATTTTATGATATATTTACTCAGTTATAATTACGTTATCCTGTATGTTTTAATCACAGAACCTTCAGTAAAACACCAGCTTTCACGATTACTAGAAAAATACCGGTATGGATCATAAACATAAACAAATGACGTTGTTGGCCCGAATCCTATACTAATAGCATTGAACATATGTTTTAGCAGTTCCATTTAAGCAATGTTAAATAATGTTTATTTTCGGGCCAAAAACGTAATTTGTTTATGTTTATGATCCATACCGGTACCGGTATTTTTCCAGTAATCGTGCCAGCTTTCATTTGAGTTATTGATGTTAAGATAGGTAGTACCTACCTAAATCACAAAAATCCCAAATTGTTAAAAAAATCATTATCATAAAAAAAATTATTATTATCAATCGAGTTATTATCATCGATTGATAGTTAAATGATTTTGCTTGAAACCTCAACAGTAACTGTCGATTTCGACAGGTTTCACCTAGTTAAATCCGAAGTTAAAGTGTTATATTATAAAACTCAATTCCCTTTGTTTACAACTAAACATGGATGCAGTTTGAAATAGTTTTTAAGGTTAACCACGGACTGCAGGACTTATTTCTTCCGGAGCAAAGCCGGAATTTATATTTTATATAAACATCGACATTTAGATGAGAAGATCACACAGTGAAATATGCTATTTGCACACAGGTCATCTCGTATTGGGTTTATTTAAATATAGCTTCCTAATTTTAAATATTTTTTTACCCAACTTCTATTAAAGAGTAATTAACTTAATACTTCACCTCAGAAGTGATATTGCGATCCTATGACCCTCTGGCCTCTGCGTCTAGCTTTCAATTCCCTGACTATTTCAGCATCGTCACCAGTAGGAACTCCTTCATTAGTGTCTTCACTTCCACCGCCTTCTTCTTCTCCTCTCGGGTCAGGATAGTCTCTAGTGCCACCACCGTTGCCACCACCGTTGGAACCAGTAAAACCACCGTTGCCACCAGGAAAACCACCAGTAAAACCACCGTTGCCACCAGTAAAACCACCGTTGCTACCAGGAAAACTACCGCTGCCTCCTACGCTCTGCCATTCACCACCATTTACTCTACACAATGTAGTGGGAGCTAGACCAGTGCCTGATCTATGAACACACTGCCTCGAGTAGCTTTGAGTCTGACCAATCTGCTGCGTGTTACCCAATCCACCATAAAAACCATCATCCAATCCAGAAGAAAACCTGTTGTTCAATCCAGAGGAAAACCCAGTATGCCTTTGAAAGCCGGTAGATAACCCCATGTCACTTAACGATGTGGGAATGACAGAAAAAGAAGTTTCTGGATAGTCAAACTGAGGAAGAGGCGAGGTGGCTACATGGTGTACACACACGCAGATGAGTAGAGTCACTGATGTCTTCATGGTCACGGACAGCTTGAGACTGAACCAGCTGTGTCAGTGGTCTATATATTCCCAGTTAATCTATTTGACCTCTAGACCCTAGATTGTATCGTTCTGCCGCAATCTGAGTTTTACAATCTTTTTGTATAAAAATAAATTACAGGCAAGTATCCTCATCGTTTTGGTTAATTGTTTTTTTTTCTCTGTAGGTACAAAACTGGAACCTGCTGTCTTTGATCTTTGGGTGATAAATGATCTTGGCTAATAGAGCGGAGGCTGGCGTTTACCCCCCCTCCCCCCCCCGGTGGGAATTTTCGACATATACATTTTTTGGTTTGTATTGACATGTACTTTAAGGTTTTAGGTGTTTGCCACTTGTGAATTACAGCATGTTCTGGAAAACACGAAAATATCATGAATATATATATATAAAAAAAAATGGTTTTTCTTTAGTGATTTCGTTTGGCTCTACAACCCGACCGATTTTCATGATTGAGGTCTCAAATTGAAGGTATTAACGCACAGGTTTCACATCAAGCATCGGCATATAGTTGCCTACAGTCCCACTCGGCTTATACGTAAACAACATTTTTTCCCATGTATTTCTTATGGGAGTTAAATTTGGTTTTTCTTTTCCGAGTTCGTTTGGCGCTTCTACCCACCCAATTTTCATTATTGAGGTCTCAAATTGAAGGTATGCACGCACAGATTTCACATCAAGCATCAGTATATATTTATCGACAGTCCCACTCGGCTTATACGTAAATTAAATTTACCCCCCATGTATTTCTAAAGGGAGTTAAATTTGTTTTTTTTATTTTCCGAGTTTCTTTGGCTCTTCTACACGACCGATCTTCATGATTGAGGTCTTAAATTGGTAGTATGCACACATATATTTCACATCAAGCATCATCGTATATATATCTACTTTATTACTTGACCAAAAAACATAGGTTCGATATATTTTTTAATTCGTATTTCAATTTAAATTGTACAGTATTTTACCATTTGTAATTATATAACCCTATATATATTGGTCTAAGAACCTTCAGTGAAATGCCGGCTTGCATTTGAGATATTAGTTATTCTAATCGGACGGTTTTCAAGCAAACGCAAGGTGAACATCCAACATAAAATAAAAAATTATAAGGTTTTTCTATGATTTAATATCAATAGCTCCAGTATTGTTTACGTTTTTTTATATGTTTTAGACTCAAAATAATCAGTCAATTATAGGCTTTAATTTGAGCTATTGATCGTTTGAATCAGTTAAGTTTAAGATACTGTATTACACAATCAAAAATAATAAATTTGATTATTTCTCGGATATGATATTTATTTTAACGCCGCAGTGCAGCATGGGTCCTTCAGTATAGATTTTTTAGTTTGATTTGATTTGATTAGTTGATTCCTGTGCGTAGGACGGGCCCACAGCAAGTTAGAATTTTAAAATGCAAGTATGGTGAAGTCATCAGATTGTTCTCAGTGACATGCAAGCAAATGAAATGAAACAAAGTGAGCAAAGTATTTTGCAAGTACTGTACTTGATGCTTTTGAACAATGCATTATTCTGCTTGAAGTTGAAAACCGTGATCAGAATTCCTAGATGTTCTGTTTATCAGCTAGAAGACCTGTACCCGAATTGGTGGAAGACAATTTACTCAATGTAGATAATCTAGAGAAAGCTGCATGCAAACAGATTAGTTGAGATAAGAGCAATAAGAAATATCTTTCTGGAGTTTTACTGCTGTCCCAGGAACGTGATATTAACCTTGAGAAGCTGATGACATACCCATTAGATCCAGTACCATGGGAATCAGCTAGTCAATGGAATCAGCCACTGTCGATGGATGCCCAACCAAAACAGAAAAGGCCAAACTGCTCCATGCTTTGGAGAACAAGGGTATAGACGAACCTCTCAAGATTGAAGAATGTATGTATGTAATTGACGGTATGGCTTACTTTTAGGTTCTTACAAATATTCCAGAAACCTCTGGTGAACTAGCACAGATTGCCTTCAGCCGTTTTCCGAAATTCAGCAGGATATACTTTATTACGGATACCAATTTAGATGTGTCTATTAAAAACATTGAAAGAGAGAAGGGGAATTGGATAAACGTTTTTAATGAGAGGTCCAAAATCAAGATCCCATGGGATTGGAAAAAATCCTAGCTAATGGTAAAAATAAGGAACAACGGGTTAACCTGCTAAATAATGAATGGTCTCAGCACAAATATGCATAAATTCAAACAAGCTTCAATACACGTTTCTAGGGTAATGTAAGGTTCTTTTTGGTGATATTTTGAAATTCACCCCCCACCCACAAACAGGGTTGCTAAGAGTAACTTAATTTTTTTTAAAGGCAACCCATATCAATCAGCACATTATTTTAAAGAGATTTAAACAAGAAAATTACTGTCGCAAATCCGATTTTGATATGAGAAAAACGAAGTTTTAGACGTTAATTTTACTGGAACCTTACATTCCAGTAAAAATTACGTCTAAAATTTCTCAATAAAATTTATTTAATTTAAATAGAATCTCTTAAAATTTCTTTCCTAGAGGTACTCGTTAAATCTAATGTTATTTAAATGGATTTAATTGAAAATCAATTCAGGCCAATTTGAAATCCGCATTGCCTGCAGGTTTGCTGCAGCGGGGGTATTTTATTAACTTTTTTATTTTCATTTAAAGCCTTTGAATACATACTAAAGAAGTCCATAAAAAAATATTGCACCAGTAATTAACGCAGGCTACCCTTTTGTAATTGAAATTAAACAGTTTTTAAATTTAACAGTTTTTCTTTATTTTCCGGAATACGCTGTAATTTAAAAGAGGCAAACAACTGAATTCTTGATCTGGTAGGTAATACCAACAAAAAAAAGTATAAGTCATAAATTCCCACAGGGGGGGGGAGGGTTTCATATTGGTGGCTCATGGTCTATAATGAAATAGCTGGTGTAGTCAGTAAGAAAGCTCACTCACTCCAAAGCCGTATAAAAGACGGTGTGTACATAGTGACGTCAAGTGCGAGCTGAACGTGTTTTATTTTACCAAATTATGTTTTCTTGTAATTTCCCAAAGACTTTCGAATGACAACCATTGCGAATTAGCATTGAATATATACAGGGTGTCCCGGAACTCTTTACCAATATTTTTGGGCATTGCTCCTGGGTAAGAAACATGCCTAAATATCATATTTAAATTTTCCGGAAGTCCTTAGTTACTCACACAGCCGCCATTTTGTTTTTTTCAGTTATTAATTTTTTTCTAAAGAATGGTTAAACATACGAAATGGAAACTTTGCACAAAGATTTATGACAACTAGACAAAGCTACCAAAAAATTATGAAGATTTTTCAAATTCATAGAACAAAATGTTGGCCATTTACAATTTTTGTAAAATCAACGGTTTTTGAGTTAATTAAGAAACAAAATTTTAAATTGCCACCATTTTGTTTTATGAATTTGAAAAATTGTCATAATTGTTTTGTAGCTTTGTCTAGTTGTCATAAATGTTTGTGCAAAGTTTCCCTTTCGTATGATTAACCATTCTTTAGAAAAAAATTAATAACTGAACAAACAAAATGGTGGCTGTGTGAGTAACTAAGGACTTCCGGACAATTTAAATATGATATTTAGGCATGTTTCTTACCCAGGAGCAATGTCCTAAAATATTGGTAGAGAGTTCCAATATCTGGACATATGTGTATAGCGTTATTCCTTAGGTCAAGACAAACACATTTCACCATAGGAACATGGTGGTGTCTAGTTTACCGACTGTCGGCATTTATGGGTTTTTTACAAAAACATTAATAACTCCTAAACGGTTTGAGATACAGCTTTGATATTTTGCAAAAATGTTAATCTTATTAAGACCTATCATCGTTAGAAATTATACTAAAAAATCATTAACCGTTTCAAAATGGCAGCCATTTAAAATATTTGATGCCAAATTTCACAAAAACCGTTAACTTTACACAAAAATTGCAAGAGACAAAAAAGTTTGTAAATTCTATGTAGTTTTCAATGATACCTTATTTGTTAAGATTGGATGAATAATAACAGAGAAACGTGTTGTTTTCGTAATGTATGACCACTTTTCACCATTTAAACAATGCTAATACTCGTTGATTAGCATTGTTTTTGTTCCGTGTATTATACCTGTGGTTGCCAAATTTCAGATGGTTATGTATCCCAAGGTTTGACATCATAATAAGGATCATATTAAAGGTACACATTTGGATCCGAGAAACATATGGTAACTTAGTCCGTAGGGAATAGATTTCTTCCCCTAAAACTGCATAATTTTTTAATCCAAGTATATTTCTCATCCCATCTCAATTGGTAATTTGGTTTTTAATTGAACAACCTAAGAGTTCCATGAGTGGAGCAAACATCTTACAACATGCAATAAAATTATAACCTACTAGCAGAGTACCTGTCCTTCATACGGGGTTGGTATATAAGTATAAAATGTTTATTGTAGTAATGCTCATAAGCATTCTGTTTGCAATGGGGAAGGACCCTGTTTGATAACATTTGCTTCTCAAAATTTAAGGTATACAATAGTATTACACATCTACCATAGCCATAATGTTCTACCACTAAAAATAAACTATTAAAAATTCACACAAAATTTATCACAAATTATTTATGAAATTAAAAACATAAACATAACTGTAATAAATCCTTCTTTAACAGCTCTCATTCAACAAAACAACACACTAAACTATTTACTTGTTATTGAAAAAACAATTGAAAAACATATGACTGTTTATTTATAATAATTAGGAAACAGTCTTTTGGCAAACAAATAGGAAATATCTATTGACGGGTTTTCTCCATAGATGATTAATCATCGTGTGTCAATCAAACCTAAATTCTTAATGAAGGGCTCAGCTTTAAAAAAATTACAATACTGGTAATGATACCATTTTTAAATTCAGAATTTGCATTTTGTTAATTTTTTACAGAGTCAGTAATAAATGTTTATCCAAGCCTACAATGCATTACAATTACTTGAGACTACAGGGTCATGCACAAAATGTTGT